GCGACCCACGAGCAACGAACACGACGGTGAGGCGCAGGAGGCCGCCGCGCCCAAATGCTCGGGTCGCCCCGACCCGCCCGCCTCTGCCGGAGCGCACCATTCGCGGGGGAGGGGGGGAAGGAACGCTGCAGCTCCCCCCCTCGCTTCCCCGAAGTGGTTCGCTCCGTTGCCTTAGCAGCTCCCTCAACACACGCCGACGCCGCGTGGAGGTAGGGGGAGGGGGCGCGTCTGCCCCCACATTGCGCCTGCGCCTCGGGAAGGGGGGGCCGAGGTCCGTCCTGCGAGTGGCCCCCAAGGGTGTGGGGGCGGCGTCCTTGGGGTGGCCCTGGGGCCTGGCAAAGCCCCTCTGCAACTCCACCGTCCTGGGCCGTGCAGTGAGACGAGCCCGCCCGGGCTGAGGGGGGAGGTGCATCGTTTGTGGCCCCACGGTGGCTTTGCGGTGCGTTGAGCCGGTGTAACTGACACGCGTCAGGCTGTCCTCATGTCGTGTGTAGCACGACGCGACCCAGTGGCACGTTGTGTCAGGATGGTATTTTGCTATGGGTTAACGCTAACATAAAAATCAGTGCTTTGTGGTCAGATGAATCTGTTTGCAACTATTTTCGTTGCGTTTCTCTTTTTAAATAGCCGACAAAAACAGCTGACTTCAAGCAGGCGAAAAATCTTCCTGCGACACACGAGAGGAAATGTTGATCCGGGTCCGTCACAGTTCGGGCGCCTCGTTAGAGTTAGGGTCTTGCATTTCCTGACCGCGTGATATTTTGTCAGATTTGTATTTGTGTTGCTTTCTGGTGTGTTGTCCTGCTGTGACATGATATATATCGTGATGCTGCACCTTTTCATCTTATGCTCAAAACTTGAGTCCAGGTTATAGCTTATAGTTTCAGTGTCATTTGCCTCACTGAAGTGCATCTAATGCTTCATGACCAACCGAAGGCTGTTCTATGGAGATCCAGTTTCGTTCATGTATCCTACACATTGGGTATGTCTACACATTCATCAATGTGCTGTAGTTACTGCGCATTAAGTTTACGACTTGGCTAACCAAGTACTAAACCAATGCACGTTAACATGGCTTTTTACTGATGCTTACTGTGCAGTAGCCTAATACTACTGCTCACTAGTGTATTAACACGGTTTTTGCCAGGCATGCTACTGTGCAGTGTTATTAGGCTACTGTGCAGTTAGCATCTTGTGTAGACGTGCCTATTTCTTCGATTACTGAGGACAGTAGAGTCCCAGGACAATGCTGCAACAACTTTACAGGATCTTTGTAACATTTCTAGTAATGCTTAGTAGCCATGTTTGGCAGGTGCTTGAGCTACTCAGGTTAAAACAGTTATATTTTGCATTTATTATTTAATTTGTTCCAAATTCTTAGCCAGCGTTATGGAAGCTGGGGTTATATGGGTGCTAAGGTGCATGGCTGACAGCTCAGAAGTTGCAAGTTCAAGCCTGCAACAGAAGTACTCACAGTGGAGCTCTGTCAGATTCCAGTCAATCTGTGAATTCTGCTAAATGCCTTGTAACAGGGACATAAAAGGAAGCCTGTATTGTAAATTACAGCAATGAGGTTTGTAGCAATGATTTCAATCACAAGCACTGAACAGAAGTTGCATTTTGCACATGATGAGGCTCCTTAAAGCACTCTATAGCTGTTAACACAATAAATGTTCACAGCTGCACAGAGAAATGCAAAACTCTAGAGCTCTTGGTTCAGAGATGATACCTCTTATTAGATCAACTAAGAAATCGCAAAAAAAAATCTTTTTCTGCAAGTTTTCAGGCACACATGCCCTTTCTCAGGCTCAGGGAAAACTTAAGATGGTAAAAAGTCATCATAGGTAGAAAATAAACTTCATTTTTGCACAGAGGAAGCTGAAGGTGGAAGTGTGTACCTCTGGGTCCATGAGAGTGTCTCTGTGAGTTGCCCTTTGATGTGCGGATAAAGGTGTAGACACCTGCACAGCACGTTTAAAATGGTCAATCTTGTGAAAATTTAACCCGCATCTGATGAAGTATCAGACAAGGGTGCTTTAAGGCACAGTGCCTTAGGGAACCTATGTACAGGTTCCCTATGAGGGTTAATTTTGGGTGATTCTGCCTGCATCCCATGAGGCTTTGCAGACTGGATTGGTGCTCCTGTGGGAGAGCATCAACCCAGCCCTGCCCCACCCCTGGGGCTGTCACAGAGAGGAGACAGAAAACCTCTGTCTCCTCCCTGTGCAACCTGGTGGGGGCAAGGGGAGAGGGAGCAGAGGGGGAGGGGGAGGGGGGAAGGGAGCCCATGCTACTGCATGTGCCCCACAGCTGCCTCTGTGGAGGACTTGAGGGGAGCTGGGCCAGGCCTGTGCAGCGGGGGGGAGGGGAAGGGGTGTCCCCCTCCACCCACCCAGGCGGTGTCTTGATAGTGGTAACCTCATAGCTGCCATGCCTGGAGCTGGGCGGTAGGGTGCGGAAACAGAGTCCCCCGCCTCGTGGGCCTGGCCCAGCTCCCCCACAGTGGTCCCAGCAGAGGCATTTGGGCAGGGCCTGCAAGACAGAGGTGCTTCGTTTTCTTCCCCTCCCCCTGCAGCTCCAGGCTCAGGAGCCACAAGGCTGCTGATGTCAAGGCGCTTGTGTGGGGGGTAGGGGATGGGAAGAAAGCTGGCCTCGGCTAATCGAGGCAGGCTCCAAGCCCCCCAGCCCCATCCCAACAGGTGTGCCTGTTGGGTTGAATGGTGCTGTAATTCATGGTGCTTTGTGTAAAGTGCCATGAGTTAGAGTGTCTACCTAACAGGCTGCCTGAACTTCTGTGCGCATCTACAGGCAGGGAGGAGTAAGGGACTAATCAACCTCTGGGGGAAAAAATATAGTTCTGTGACTTCAAAGTGAGATAGGACTTCAAGGTAGGATAAATGTGGCAGACATTCCCAGCTGTTGAATAACCAAAGCCTTTTTCTTACAAGTGGCCTTGGTAACCACGAATGCAAGAGAAAAGAAAATACAGCCTATGGTTTCTAACTGGAATGTTTTTCAAAGTTTTCCAGGAGGTATCAGTGACTCTAAACCTTTTGTACAGACATAGTCATGCTTGTTATCACTTTCCACATAATGATTTAAAAATAGCTGATGCTAATTGTTTTTTGATGGTAAGTACAGGAGTGCAGACACCATTTTAAATTGTTTTCCATATAATTTTTTGTACTTCTGGTCTAAATTGCTTAGTAAATGCTGCAGAGAAGTCTCTGAAATAAATTCTTGTTGCTGTTCAAATGGGACTCAATCCAACACCCATTAAAGTGAGTGGGAATCTTTCTGTAGGTTTTAATCGACTTTTGGATTAAATGCCCTCAAGTATCCTTTATTACAATGTGTAGGATGATCTCCCATCTGGAAAGCATATTCCTTTGTCTTCATAGTGGGCACAACTTTTCCAGCAGAATTCAGGGTCCTGAAAATCTTCTGTGCTTTGATGGAATTGGACTGTGGAGAGCTGTGAATGTTTTCTCAGAGGGGAACTCCCCTTAACCTGAGCTCACTGTAGTTCATTGAGGAGGAGAGGAATGTAAGTCCAGATCCTCAGAAGTATTTAGGCGCTTAACTCCCATTGAAATCAGTGGTAGTTAAGTCTGTACACTGGAGTTAGATGCTTCTTTGAGGATGTGGGCCACCACTGTCTCTGGGCTGTGATTATAGTAACCCATGGATCACAGGTCTAGTTGGAAGAGCAGCCAGGGAAGATGCTATAACCTCATCACTATCTCTGTTTAATATCTCAACACAAAACCTTTTTACTAAGGCATTGTCTACAGACTTGCATCATTTTATACCAATTTAAATAAGCCAGTGCAAAATCCAGTGTAGATACTGTTATTTCAGTTTAAAAATAGTTCATGTCAACTTTGCTCAAGTGCATTCTGTGCTTTTCAGCTTTACTTTCAACTTTTCCCTTTCCCCAAAAAAGAAAATAGATTCTTATTTATATTAATGAAAGGTCCTGTTCCACAGTTAAATAAGTGAGAGTAAAGAAAACAGGACTGTGTGTAAAATTAATCATGTGAATAAATCTTTGAGTGACTAGGGTCTTAATGATCTACCATCTGGTAATAACTCCTACTGGATGACACTCCGTATTTGTTGAGTAATGGTAAATTACATTAAAGTTTATGAACTATTTTCTGTAAAAATGGGAAAACTGCAAATGGGAAGCAAAGGTAATTAGAGCCTGGTTCAAGCTGACCTTATCCTAGTTTTGTCGACTGGTGATCAAGCCTGGAAAGATTCCTTTTATTGTTAGCAGGGGTGATTGGATGGAACTGGAATATTACACAGATCCAGGAAAATCTGTCCAGACAGAGTGCTAACCGCATGCCAAAACCTGTTACAGTTGCTTTGTATCTATGAATAAAATTCATACACAGCAAATTCTATATGTGCATTATTAAAATGTCCACACAGCCCCTCTCTGACTAAGCACACGATGAGCAACTACAGTGAGACTCATCTATTGTAGTTCCCTGACTAAACAAGTCACATGTAGCAGGGCTTTATTTTTATTTTTATTTTTTGGATTTGTCACTGCTTATATAATAGCATACTAAGGGCAGGCTAAGAGGTGAAGATTGAGCAGGGCTAAAGACCTCTGGATTCCTAGTAGAGTAGAAGCTGTACATAAGCACATTCTTCAGGAGCAAGGTCATGTGTGGTTATATAGGCAAAGTATGCTTATATCTGAAGTTATCCTGCAGAAACAATGACATGTAATACTCAAGCCATGTGCAGAGCAGTTTAGTTTAATGTTTACTTGTTTTTAGTTACCACATATATATATATATATATATATATGTGCAGTATTATATTTGCAATGTCTGGTGCTTATTTGAATAATATGGCACCCTACCATAAGAGATCACAGATTTATGAGGAGTCTTGAAAATTAGCTCTGCACACTTTTTAGCTGATTGACAAACATATTATCATAGTATTTTACTGTATTATTGCCACTCATATACAGTGTTGGCTGGCTTTGAACAGCATGTTATCATGACAAATAAAGAAACCCATGTGCTTCTATCTGAATAGGGTGTGATTGTATCAGGTGCTCTGCAGCTGGGAAAGATTTGGTTTTTTGATGATATTTTGTCTGTATTCAAACTGTCCTTAGGTGAGACTATAAATGGCTTCAACACTATTTTGGAGGCATCATCAGCTTGTTCAAGTTGCTTATTAGCACACCAGGTTCAAAATCTTCTTAGGTTTTATTATTAGTTCCAGTAACTTTATTGGGACTATGCAAGTGCTTAAAATTAAGCACATGTTTAAATACTGCTTGCTGGGTAGAGCCCAGAGTGGTCAGAAATTTGCACAGTTGTTGCATATTTCATCTTCAGATGCTCACTCTGTCATTCTGACTGAAATTGGAGGGAAGGAGCATTAGAACTTAATTTCTCAAAAAGCACTAAAATCCCATTTTCAAATTAGGTTTCTAAAGATGCTAGGAAGTGTCTAGTTACCTTTTGTTTCTTCCTTGTCCTAATTTTCTTTCCTAAGGTTCAGAGACCGGGAATGTGAACCTCTTTTCCATTTTCCTTCATTTTTTATTTTGCTGAGAGAAATTCAAGCATCAGCTACTAAATATTCTGCTGTACAAGTAGACAGTGCCAACTCTATGAAACTATGGGCCATGTTTGTTCTGTTTACAAATCCATGGCATTCCTTGGACCTGCAGTTGTGCACTGCTGGTAACTGTGCCCTTGTTCTTTTCAGAAGATAGGACTCTGTTCTCAATTAGTGAATAAAATCCCTGTTTGTTTTTCCCTTTTAGGTGGTTTACTTAGTTAGATATGCCTTTAAATTATATTGCTGGTTAATTGCAGTATTTTCAATGTCATTTATGTAGTAATTTAGAAACAAACTCTATTAAATCTGATTCTCTTTTCATTTACACAGGCTTTAATTTGATGGAATTATTTCCTGATCTACGCTGGTGTAGGTAAGCTCAGTATGAGACCTGCTAAGTTTAAGATACCCAAAAGCTGGGAAATTTACAACTGATGCAACTAATCCAAAGTACGTGGGTGGCACACTACAGCAGCATTTCTCAGCCCATGGGTTGCAACCCAGAAGTGGGTCACAAGAATATGGATTGTGAACATACTTTAAAAATGGATCACAAATGTTAAAGATGGATTCTCCTTTAAAGGAGAATAATGTGGGAAACTCTGGCTTTTCCTTTGCAGGCTGGCAGAGTTCCAGCCTGCAAGGATCTGTTTGTGGTGCCCCCCCTGCCCCACACCCTCACCCTGCCCCACACACTGGGGGGCTGGAGCCTGGGGGCAGGGGGCAGTGGGTTGGGAGTGAGGAGCACTGGATCAGGACTGGCCATCAATGTTTACAAATGGGTCCTGGTACAAAAACGTTTGAGAACCACTGACCTAGAGTAAATCTAGGTTGGACAAAACATGTCAGTGTACAATTCTGTGTAGACAGTGGAGTTGGGTAAAATGATGTAATTGGTCATTTCTCTTCTTAGGCCAAGAATTTAAATGTGTGTATATTGGCATCACTCCACTGCAAACAGTGAGAACCACCACTGTACAGCAGTTGACGCCTAGTCTATATGGTAGTATTAAGAACCTGATCCTTGTTATTAGGCCAATGCAAATAGGGAAGTATTTGATTTGTATTCGGATTCGGTCGATTTGGAGGACAGCAGTTCAATTCAGTGATTCGAATCGCTGTCTCCATTGGATTCGACCGAATCCGAATCGGAGATTTGGTGCTGATTTGATGCTGATTCGGAGATTCAGATTGGCCAGGGAGAGGCAGGCACAGCCGGGTGGCTGTAGGTTCTCCTGTGGCTCTTTTGGCTTTGCCTCCCTCTCCCTGGGCGGGGGGGAGCTGTGGGAGAAGCCCCCATGGCTGCCCTGCCCAGCACATCTGCCACCCAGACCCAGCCTCCCAGCACTTTAACAAAAATAATAAAATAAAAGCCCTGCACTCACCATCTGCAACAGTGGCGATTAGGGCCTCTGGGCAGGGTGCTGCACACTCTCTGGGGGCTGGGGCTGAGCTGTGCCGGCCTGTTGGGATATTACTGTGTATGGACATGGGCCTTTACGTCCTGTTGACATTCACTGGCTTCCCTCTTCCAGGGCCAGTGCCAGTCAACAAAATTGGGTCGATCTTCCTCTCTATTATCTCGCCTGCCACAACTTTGATGACCTAATTAATGCGGGTCATCCTGACCCAGTGTTGGCCGTTACTTGCCTGGTGCCTGACCAGGTATACTCAACGAAACAAAACTTCTTGCCATAGGAAGTAAAATTACAGGCAACTTGCCATCCGTCTGGTGGTGCTTCTCCCAGCTGCAGGGGACTCAGATGTAGCCTCTCACTTCCATGGTTCTTTAATCCATGAATGCTTGATCGCTGAAGCTGCGATCAAATGTTTCCTTTTTTTCTTCCTTTTCTTCAGTAATTGATGCCACACCGGCTTAATTGACCGCACACGGCAGCCAATTCATGTGGGAGCGTCGGTTTCCCTTGGGTATGCGAGCTCCTCTGAGCTCTCAAGACCATGCAGGTCTCTTGCCCCATTCCCAGGGACTTCAGTTCTGGGCAGCAGACAGGCACTCACTCTATCTGCATGCCCTGTCACTCTCTCTTACCGTCCCACGTTGTTCCATCTCCCAGGACCGGAAATAACCCTGGGCTGCTTAATAAGCCCAATCCGCTTCACCCAGCAAGGTGATAAAATGGCACCGGGGAAAGTCAGGAGCTCCCATTGGAGTGTGGCCATGCTGCCACGGTTGGGCAAACTCGCCTGGCCAGGGGTCTGCTCTAGGTATGTAAACTTGACCTTTTCACATGACCCCACAGCCTGTGCTATAGCCGGTGAGTGTGGAGCTGTTTGTTTGGGTTTTTTTAAGTGCTGGGAGGCTGGGGTCAGGCAGGGTATGGGGCTAGGGAGGGCAGCCATGGGGGCTTCTCCCACGATTCCCCCCACCCGGGGAGAGGCAGGCACAGCCAGAGGAGCCGTGGGTGAACCTACAGCCACCCAGCTGTGCATGCCTCTCCCTGGCCATCTGAATCTCTGAATCTGTCCAAATCTTTTCCGAATCGATTCGGAGGCTATGGATTTGATTCGGACCTTTTAATGGGTCCCCCAATTCAATTCAGATTTAGAGATTTGGCTGCCAAATCTCGTCAAATCTCCTTTGAATCAAATTGGCGACTGAAGCTTTCCACAGCCCTACTTGTTATCATTTTGGACCAAAATTTTTCCCTGACTTTATAGTAAATTTTAGGTTCCTAATGCTGCAAGACTGGACCCTGATTGTGCCTCTCATATGCATATTGTTCCTGTCAGATAGGTACTGTGAACATCATAGCTCTTATTTTTGTTGTCACCTATTTACTTCTGTGGGGATGTGATTTACCCAATATAATGATATCCTAATGATACTTTTGTTAGGTAAATTTCCATCTCTTAAAGTAGGTTGACACATTTTTTAAATGTAATTATGTTAAATGAACCAAACCTATTGTAAACATCTGCTTTCTTTTCAATTGTCATAAATAGCTTTCTGAGTATAATTATATTTTTGAACATTAATAAAATGAATTAATGTGTAAAACCTGACACCTCTCATAAAAGTAGCAGTTCCAGTCACTGGGTATAATGTGTTTAGAAGTAGTACATTATTATTCACCTCATTATGATAAGAAAATAATTTGTAAATGGCCTTTTATATCTTTTTATGAGATCTGTTGAGAACCAGATTCAATCAAAATATATAACTACTAATGAATTGTTTAATCATACCCAGCTCTTTCACCTATACATCATATCTGCTTGATTAAATGTGACTGATTCATCTCAAAACATGAGGGAGTGGAAATATTCAAGCACTAAATACTAATTTATGTTCTTCAGGGGCTAAGTTCTGTTAAAAGAATTATCAGTATGGAAGGTATTCAACTCTCTGATAGTGGTGAAGAGGAACAGACATCTGTTTCATCATTTCAGGAAGAAGAAAAAGATGACATAACAGGTCAGCTCTGTATTGTGGAGCAACACTGCAGAAGCTAGTCTTTGCAATATTTTGCTTATTTACAGACACTGACTCTGTCTCTGAGGCAGTACAATATGATAAAATCCACACAACAGATTTGAGACTAAATGGTTATCTCAGTTACATTGATATAATCAAAAGTAACTCCACTGGCTCCAGTAAGGATCTTCAAGGTTTACTGTTACAGGTGTACCTGATCAGCATCTAGTCTATGATTTCTGTGATGGCTTAGGAAGGCATCCCCCTATCCCTACTTACAGTCATAGAGTCATAGAAAGTTAGGGTTGGAAGGGACCTCAGGAGGTCATCTAGTCTAACTCCCTGCTCAAAGCAGGACCAATTTTGGTCCAGTCCAAAACTCCAATTTGTCAAGGTCTCTCTGAATCCTAGATCTATCCTCCAGCATATCTACTACTCCCTGCAGCTTGGTGTCATCTGGAAGCTTGCTGAGGGTGCCCTCTATGTCATCTTCCAGATCGTTGATGAAGATATTGAACAAAACTAGCCTTAGGACCAACCCCTGGGGCACTCCGCTTAATATTGGCTACCATCTAGACATTGAGCCATTGATTGCTACCCTCTAGCCTGATGATCCAGCCAGTTTTCTAACCACCTTACAGTCCATTTATCTAACCCATACTTCCTTAGCTTGCTTACATGGAAGTTGTGGGAAGCCATATCCTTGAGGACTTGCTCCATGATCCTTTCAGGGACTATGGTGAGGCTGACTGGTCTGTAGTTCCCTGAATCCTACTTCTTCCCTTTCTTAAAGATGGGCACTGTACTTCTGAAGTCAAACTCTTGCTCAGAGCGGTTAATCCACACTGTTGACTGTGTAGTTCTGTAATATTATTCAAAGAATGTTTGCAGTTATTTCACGAGATGCACTCGGCTTTACTGTTGTCCTTCCCTATTATCTATTATTACTCATAGATCGTGCTGAATAGTGTCTCCAGAGTGAAAAGTTTTTAGGCCAGCATTTTATTTTTTTCTCATCCTAGCACAAAGTGACCACACAAATGTTTAGTGAGAATGTATTATATTATTCTATTATTGTTGCTGCAATAAATGCAGAGCAGGACAAATTAGTATATGATGAATGGTACTCTTTTTTTTGCAATGTCAGTCAAAAATCTATGAATGAACTATAAGTGTTATATTTCATTTGGCTAATGCAGATTTCCTTTTTATAGCACTTCTACTTGATTGTCAGTGAGCATGTCTATATGTGCTATTCATGCTATAAAGCTTACTGCGCAGTAAAATACTGTGCAGTAAGCCTTCCCTGAGAGCAGATCTGCTCCTAACGGGAACAGGTGTGTACAGAGCTGTGCCTACATTGCTCTGCCCCCCTACAGCAGCCAGGGGGAGCTCCAGGTTCCCCCTGGGTGCTAGCCTGGAGGGATGGCAGGGAGCATGGAACCAGTTTCCATATGGAAGGGGACAGGAGAGCTCTTCTGGCTGCAGCAATAGCTGTCTCCTTGCCCCATACACATCAGGAGGGGTCTTGATGTGCACAGGGCTGGGAGACAGTGCCTCTGCAGAGCAATCCCAGCCTCCTGCACCTGGGGACAAACCCCATGCTCAGCAGGGCTTCCCAGCACAGCCAATCACTGGCCAGGAGCTGTCCCATTTCTGGGGCAGCTCCCAGCCAGCCCTGGGCTGGGCAGGATTGCCCCATGCAACCTGGGGCTGGATGGGAGCTGTCCTGCTTCTAGGATAGCTGCTAGTCAGCCACAGGCTGAGCAGAAACTTTCCCACAGAGCCTACTGGCTAGGATCTATCCCAGAAGTGGGACAGCTCCTGGCCAGCCTCCAGCTGTGTGGGGAAGCAGAGAGCTCCATAGTTCTGGCACTGCTTAGTTTCCTGTTCCCATGGGGAGCAGAGAACTGAGCAGTGCTGGGATAGGGATGGGGATGGAGGTTGCGGGGGGAAGGCAGAGAACTACCCCGTCCTGGTGTTGCTTGACTCTGCTCCTCAGGGAGCTGGGAGCTGAGCAGCTCCAGGACTGGGGGACTTCTCCATCCTCTGTGGCCCATCTAGTGCTGGGGCTGACCAAGAGCAAATTTGCTCCTGGTCAGTATCTACACAAGCGCTACTGCTCAGTATCTACTGCGCAGTTAGTTTACTATCTGTATTTACAGGTAGTAGCTAACTGCACAGTAGACTAATTTACTGTGCAGTAAAATGGTGCACATGTGTAGATGGTGATGCTTTACTGCACAGTAGATTAGTCTACTGTGGAGTAAAGCATCTCATGTAGAAACACTCAGTGACAGCTTTGCAATGAAGGTAGGGAATTTTTGTCTATTTCAGTCTCCAGGTGTAAAGTTGCCTTCATGTATATTTTGTGACAAGAAGTTTTTTATTAGGTATAGCAATAAAGCTTTTTAAATGTCATTTCCTTGCCACTTGTCATGTTTTGGCTTGACATAAAAGGTACCAGAGCTTTACATTTTAATGCTGAAAGACTCTTTATTAAACAGTTATTTTGCTCTCTGTTAGAACAAAAGCTTAGGGAAGAGCCAGAAGATGATGATAAAACCAGAAGCAAGGAAAATTCTAAAGGAGTTGGAGGAGACTTTGATTATAGCAGGTGAATAGTTTGTATCTTGTGTCATAACCCATATTAGTAGTTTCTCATTTGGAATTGATTTACAATTTGAAGGGAAGATGTACTTAATACAATTTCACTAATGCACTGCACTTTTCTCTTATAGGAAGTAATAGTTTAAGCCTTTGTATAGGGAAAATAAACAAAGGTTTTTTGGAATGGAAACCATGCTGCAATGGTATAATTATATCAAACACTGGGTTGCATCTAACTTGCAGGCACTAAGCCCAGTGAATTCATTGAGTTCTATATTAACTGATTCTTGCTTGTGCAAGGACCACAGGGTTGGGTCATGTGTTTTAGTAAATGAATTAGCACAAGGCTGACAAGGCTGCATGATATTAGACTAATGTATCTTTGGGTTTACAAATAGGGAGTACATCGATTTTAGTGTATCACTTTAATCTCTGGAGAACTAGGGTTAAATCTGACACACGTCACGTGTTAAAATGAATTTTTTTATTTAAGCATAGCCTGAAATGGATGATAAAAGAAAATGATAGACCAAATGGATAACATTTACATATTTAAATAACTGTTCTTTTTTAAACCTTGTCCTATGGTTAATCATATGTGATGATGAAAATCTTTTTTTCTGTTTTTAAATCTAAAGGGAAGGCTTGGAACATTATGTGAGCAATGTTAATAATAATAATAACAATAAGACCATGAAATATGCAGACAGAGTTTCGATATTAACCCTGCGCAGAAACATAAACCAGCTTGACAACCTGTCCAAAGAAAAGGATATTATGATTCAAAAAACCAGGTTAGTGTTTAGGCATGAGGTTAGGCAATCACAACAACAGAGATATATCATTGTCTTTGTTTTGTTTTTCCAAACAGAAATAAAATTCTTGCTGTCATGCATGATATAAATATTATCTTAATTTCTGTTACTAGTTATTTGATTCTTGCTTACAAAATACCTTTGGCTGTTATGAATACAATTAGAATTTTGCCTAGGAACCCCTAAGTGATCAGGAGAGATTAAACATTTTTAAAGGGAACCATTTTTTCACCTATCCTTTTATTTTGATAGTTTCTCCATTCTTGGCCTTGGATAATATTGTTTGAATGTCATTAATATTTTTAAATGAATTAAAAATGAATCACTCTTTTAAAAAACTAAGAAATAGCTAAATGAAATGGCTGACATGCTTTTTTGGCAGGATAAAGCCAGTCCCCTGAGAGTTGAAAGATGTTAAACAAGTCATTATACTGGCTTTACATAGCCAAAGAAGCATGTCACTCATTTTATTTTGCAGTTTCTTACCTTCTTTTTTAAAATGAACTTAAAACTGATTTTTAGTAGACTCTTCAAACTGTAACTAGAGTCTCTGACATGACCTGAAGGTCTTAATTACCAAAAAAATGTACTGCTTATATTTTTGTCGATTGTATAAAAAAAAAAAAAAAAAAAAAGACATGTTCAGAATAACATTTAAAAATAAATAAGCTAGGGGAAAAGATTAGCTTAATCTTTTCTTGGGAACGTTTGTAGGACTCAGGAAAAAGATGTGCTTATCCGTAGCTACCCACTCTCCTTCACATGACAGACTCTGCCCCCATAGAATGCGTTCAATGGGACTTCTGAATAGAGGGAAAAAAAGACAGTGGAAGTACCTCATAATATATCTCTTTTTACTAGAACTAGGAGGGTCTACGTCACACAAGGGGTGGGAGAAGTGGAAGGCGAATTCCAGTTTGGGATTTGTTTCATTTGGTTTGTCATAGTTCAGCAGATTATTCCAGACTATACAGAAGAAGTGAATTTTCAGATAATTTAATGCCATGGAGAAAAGAAAACTGACAAATTACAATAAAAACAGCTAATTGGAATACTCCTGAATATCATTGATTTTTTTTAAAAAAAATTATATGCGACTGCAAAGTGAATGCTTTTAAAAAAAATACCATTTCTGTGAATTTAATGAATGAAAGGTGGTTTTGAATAATAAGATGCTGTAACTTAGTATTATTTTTTTTCTAATATATTTTGGGGAACTATTTTGGCAAATGAGTGTAAATCTGCAACACTCAATATTTCTAGGCATTTCCTGCTATTTCCTGGCATACTCATTATCCTCGCAATGTGCGTACTCAGGACGTCAGCCTATGTCCTTCCAATTGTGTAATCAGCTTGGAGTGGCAGGAAGTTGATGGCTGGGGGTATAAAGGCTAACAGCTGTTTTCAACACTTTTTTCATCATAAGCTAAAGCTAATTATTATCTTTGCATCTGCCTTAAAAGAGGCTTTTATTGGAAAATACCCATGTCATTTTAAAACTGGAAGTCCTATTTACAACAGAAATTAAAGCTTTGCTATGTATAACCAATTTTAGAGTGACATGCTGTGAATGATTTCCCTTGTCAATTGCTATTATGTTGCAGAGCAATGATCACAGTCCTTATATTTCCTTAGCAAATGTAATCCTGTTAACAGTTAATCAGGATGACTGGATAGTTTAGGTTCATGCAAACATATAAAGGAGTGACCAAGAGTCTACATCTGATAAGTGATAATCTGTGAGAAAAGAATTGGTGTCTCTGGTGGGATTAATTCTACATAAAATATTAATAGCATAACTGTAGAGAATTAATTCCCTGTATTATCAGCCTTGGAGCCCGGGAACAGCCTACTACAGTATCGCATGCTGAATTTCTTTCCTTTAGAATTTAAGGCAGAGTGGCAAAGTGGTGTGCAAAAACCTGCATTGTTTCTTCTTGTGCTACATTTGAAATGTCTCATGTTTGCCAATCAGGAAGTTTCTGGATCTGTCCTAGACCTTACTGAGGTCAATGGAAATAATCCCATTGATTTCAGCATTTCTGGATCAGACCTTAAATGAAGCATAAAACACCCTTAGGTTCTGATCATGTCTGTGCTCAGAGTAGTATAACTAATGCAGGTGACCAGGGCAGCAGCCCCAGGCACCAACTTGGAGGCAGGGGAAAAAAATAACAGCTGCTGCTGCCAGCCGGATGCATTACTGGCACCCAGGAACCACCACTGCCCCTGGTGACATGGCTGCCCTGGCCACAAAACTACCCTGTTTCACTTCTGTAGAGTAAACTAATTACATAGGTAGGTTCGTTGAAATTAATGATTATGCATGTGCTCAAAGTTAAGCATGTATGCCAAAGCTAAAAGTTTAAAAAAAGAACAAAAGAAAAGTATAAATATGCTGGAAGAGGCTAAACTTTTTTAAAAACACTTTATGGTGTCATTTATTGGATGAAACTAGAACTCTGAATGAAACTGGAATGAATTGGGAGTAAGGGGAGAGGTTTTCCTAGTGAAAATACTTTGAAGATAACAAACATCTTTAAAGAAACTTATTATTGAATTCTGAAATATCAGAGAAAAGGGGGGAGGTAGTGGGAGGAAATCCCAGTTACATTCCTTAAAAGAAAAGCTTCAGTGGAAGCACTGGGGAATTTACAAAATAGTTGTTTGCTTGTTTCAGAGAGGAGCTCAGTGCCTGCCATCTACGGATCAAAATACTCACAAAGCAACGAGAGAGTGTAGAGACCAAAATAGAAAAAGAGAAGAAGGCTGGAAATGCGTAAGTAGAGAGTGTTTCTGCCTGCCACAGATTACTGGCATCCTCTTTGTTGATATGTGTGAAGGCAATGAGGTAATAAGATAAAGTTTGCTACCTTTTCAAGTTGCTACTGAAAGTGTCTGATATTGTAAACAGTTGTGAATCAAATGAGCAATGTTTAATACTCAGTAATTAAAAGTCATTGCTGTTCTAATGTTAAAAGGCAAAACTGCATTATCTCAGTAGACCATGCTGTGTGGCAAGGAGCTTTGCAGTCATGGTGAGCTGGAGAACAGGCCAGGTACATTAGTTCCTATACTGGTGAACACTGAATGATGCAATCACTCTCTAGGTAACTTGTTATTCACACCTGTCAGTCCTTCTATTTGAAATACCGAGTGGCAATGCAGGTGCTTGGATAAAAGGTTGATTTCTTAAATGTCCTAGGTAAGATGCTACTAGGGCAATTGCAGTGGAGGAAAAAGGGGAACTGGTGACTAAAGGAACACGTCATGACAGCAGATATTAGATCTAATTCTTTGTATTTGGATGACAGAGAGCATGGAATATTGATTCTGACTTATGTGACCTCAAGCAGATTGCTCTGTTTTCCCTGATGCATTGGTAAGGAGGTAGTTGAAAGCAGGGGTATGAGGTGCGACTAACCTTTGTAAATCAGTTTGAGATCCTTGGTAAGGGGTGTGGTAGAAAAACCAGCAAAACCAAGGAGGTGATTCTTCCACTGTACTCAGCACTGGTGAGACCGCAGCTGGAGTACTGTGTCCAGTTCTGGGCACCTTTAACAAGGATGTGGACAAGCTTGAGAGAGTCCAAAGAAGAGCCAGCCATATGATCAGTCTTACACGGCAAGCCATATGAGGAAAGGCTGAGGGGCCTGGGACTCTTCAGCCTGAGGAAAAGTAGGCTGAGAGGAGACCTGGTAGCAGCTTACTGCTACACTAGGGGAGTACATCAAGGGCTCGGTGAGCAACTGTTCACCAGGGCACCCAAGGGGAAAACCAGGAGTAATGGCTACAAACTCCTGGAAGAGCGACTCAGGCTCAATATTAGGAAAAACTTCTTCACAGTCAGGGTGTGCAGACTGTGGAGTAAGCTTCCTCCAGAGGTGGTGCAATCGCCTACCCTGGAAATCTTTAAGAGGAGACTAGACAGTCACCTTGCTGGGCTCACCTGGCCCCCAGTTCTCTTTCCTGCTTGGTGCAGGGGGCTGGACCCGATGATCTTCCGAGGTCCCTTCCAACCTCACAATCTATGAATCTATGAAAACTTTCCAACACTTTTGAGAACAACAAAAGCCAAAGTGTAGAAGTTTTATATTACTCCTAGCACTGTGACCTGAGTTAAAAAATCAAATTCAGTCTAGGCCTTGTCAAGAAAGGTAAATGTTTGGGGTAGTGGTGGGAGAAGGGTGTTGGAACCAAGGTTTTAGTGTCCATGATTATGTCTAATTATACTAATATATATGTATCAGTTTTGTTATATTAGTTGTAAATATGCTTACCACCAAAATAATAATAATTTAGCTTTCACCAAATGTGATCTCATTTGTCACTATAGCACTCTTTTTTGTTCTATTATAAAATATTTATATATTTATTTATTTATGTAATGTAATATATATTAGATGCCATATATGATATATTTATATGTATATTATATATAATATGTAATATAATATCTATATTTGCCAATACAATCCTGTTTTTTTTGTTCTACTATATATAATATATTATATAATACAATATAGTCCACCAAAACAACTCCACCAACTTCAAAAACAATCCTCAAACAGTTATTAAAGTAAGGTGTTCCCCTACAAAACAGCTCAAAGAGATTGTTGGTCTCTTGTTAACTAGTCTGATTTTTAATTGGGAGGTGGGTGGTTAGATGATACGATTTTTTTAGTCACATTTTTGCTCAGGGGTTTAATTAAAGTTCATACTTTCTTTCAAAATAACTGCCAACAATTATAACGATACAATAAAGTATACTCAGGGCAGCCAATATCTCTTGTGTTGGGTGTACAACAGCTGAAACAATGGGATACTGGTCTACAACTGAATCTCCTGAGCACTAAGGGATACATCTATAAAAGATGTTTACTGCTCAGTTGACTAATTAGCTGCACAGCAAATATCTTGGTGCCTACATGTGTGCTCCTATTAGGTTGCAGTAAACTAATTTACTCCTTAACAGGATAGTAGATTTAGTAGATTTCATAGACATTAGGGGCTGGAAGGGACCTCACGAGATCATTGAGTCCAGCTCCTCTGCCAGAGGCAGGAAGTCTGCTGGGGTCAAATGATCCCAGCAAGATATGCATCCAAATGCTTTTTGAATGAGTCTAGAGTAGGTGCTTGCATCACCTCTGTGGAGAGTCTGTTCCAGATCCTGGACACTTGGACTGTAAAGAAGTTTTTTGTTATGTCCAGTCTAAATCGGCCTTCTAGAAGTTTGTGGCCATTAGACCTAGTTATTAGGGCTGTGCAAAATTTCGAATGGCGTTTCACTCATTTTGGTGGTGTTTCGAGTGTTTCAATGCTCAAAATTCTGAATCCAAAACAAAATGGGAGACATGTCGAAACATTCAAAACGAAACGAAACAAGTGAAAATGTTTTGAAGATGTTTTGAACCTGGGCTTGTTAAAGTTTCTAAACATTTCAAATTTCGAAGCTGGGATTGCCTGCAGGGAAAGAGAAAGTAAGGAGAGGGAGGGGCAAGAGGGGGGAACAGACTGACATCTGTAGCTAGCTAGCGTCTGCCAACTGTCCCTGAGGTTCCTTTCAATCCCAGTGCTCTGGGGGAGGGACCTAAAAAGTTTAAAAACAGCATATAAGCCTGTTTAAAAACAGTGCCTAAGCTGTCAGCCTTTGTCAACCTGTCTCTTGCCAGAGAGCAGCATCTGAAAGGCACTGACTGACTGCTTCCTAGCTGCTACTGTCTAGCTAGGGAGTGTGTCTTCTATTTGCAAAGGATTGGATAGGATACAGCTTACACTGACAGTTTAGCTATATGAGCCTAACTTCAATACTAGTATTGTTATCCCTGTATCATTTCTTTTTTTCCCTATATCCATTCCTTTGAAATTATTCTTTTCTTTTTTTTTACTTGAAGAAAAAGAAATCTGTGTTTTGCCTGATAGTGGGATCGCTGGGCTGGAAGGGACCTCGGATGATCAAGGTCAAATGGTCACAACCAAGGTCAAATGGTCACAGACTCCTCCAAGACCATTTCAGGCTGGACATAAGGAAGAACTTCTTTACTGTCCGAGCCCCCAAGGCCTAGAACAGACTGCTCCAGAGGTGGTGCAAGCACCTACTCTGGACTCCTTTAAGAGACATTTGGACATTTATCTTGCTGGGATCTTTTGACACCAGCTGACTTCCTGCCCCTGGGGCAGGGGGCTGGACTCTGATCTTCTGAGGTCCCTTCCAGCCCTAATGTCTATGAAATCTATTAAATCATTTTGAGGTGGCAGATGATCCCACGTATGCTACCTGCCTGCACTGCCAAGCTGAAAACAGCCAGGCCAAGGAAGCAAAACGTATGAGCATCGCAGGGATGCTAATGCATCTTCGCAGGCACCACCCACTTCCGGTACACTTCTGGGTTTGCTGCCAAGCATGTGGAGGGCTCCCCTGCACTCCTGATGCTCCATGCACCCCAGCATCTCAGCACTCACGAGCCCCTGCTACCTAGAAGTATGTAGAAAAAACATTTAAAGCTGTGTCTATGTCCGAATCTCCAAATCTTTCTGAATCTCTCCAAATTGATTCAGAGGCTTCCGATTCAATTTGGAGAGATTAAAGGGTCCTCTGATTTGATTCGCATTCGGAGGTTCAGCCACCAAATCAGGCCGAATTTCTGTGGAATCGAATCAGAGACCGAAACTTCACACATCCCTACTGGTGAACAACTTTTCTCCCAGATCCTGGTGCATCCCCCTTTATATACTTATAGGCTGCCACTATAGTACTTGTAAAAACTCCGCAGCAACACACATGTAGATGCTGCCTGGCTGGCTGGGGCATATGGGTGCTTCAGTGCAGGGGTTGCCTGCTGGCTAGCCTGCACTGAAGCTCCCTAGTGCCCCAGCCAGCTTCTCTGTAGCATATTGTGGGCTGGCAGGCTGAGTCCCTCCCAGCTGGGGCTGCTCCACCTGGGCTCTGTATAGAAGTGCAGTTCCCTGCTTTTACTCATGGCATTTTACAGCAAGTGCCATGAGTTAGACTGATCCTTGGCTCCACATGGGCTCCATTTGCTGCACCCGCATAAATTGTGCAGCTTATTGCTCTGGAGTTAATTGCTCCTGGCTACACGGTCAAACCTGGGTGCACCTGGGATCAATTTACTCTGGAGCAATAAACTCCACAGTTTATTCAGGTGCTGTAATTACACATGTAGACACACCCAAGATGACACAAATAAATCCAGGAAAAGCAAATATGGAAAATTCATCCATAACAAACATCCATAGCATAGAGTGTCATCATCACTTTATAAACAATATATATGCTGTACCTGAAACAGTTGTATTAGAGTATATCACAAATGCTTTCTTCAGTGAATGTTTAGTTGTTTGCCGTACACAAATACAGCCCATAGAGTTTTACAATCTAATCCACAGATTTTACTTTGGATATAAAGCTCTTAGAAACTGCAATGTGCTGCCTTGAGGTGTGGACAAAAGTGGCAATTTTCACCTTATCTGGCCCTGGAAAGCACTCTACAGCTGTGACCTAACACAAATGCCTACAGAGCGTTTTAAATGGGTTACATGAGGGTTCAGATGAAGGCACTCCGAAGTGGAGCGCCTTCATTCACTTGTGTCTGTGCATGCCTGGAGCAGGGCTGGGTTGATGCAGCCCAGCTCTGCTCCTGGTTCTATTTTCAAAGTGGGAGGGGGGGGAAGGGAGTGTAGGGAGCTTGTTCTGGGGGTTGCCCAGCCAGCACTGGAGGGTGGGATAGGTGGGGGGATCTAGCCCATCCCCTCCCCACTCCAGTGCAGGCTGGAGAAACCCCAGAATGGACCTCCCTCCCCTGCCTTCTCCCCTTCCCATCCTGAGACAGCACCAGGGGCCAAAGGGAGGTGGTGGTGGTGGGTGGGGGTTGGCAGAGCTAGGGGAAGAGGCTGCAGAGATACAGCTGCTGTCCCTGAATCAGCTCCAAATTGGAGCTCAATCCCCCACACTCCCAACCCAACAGCTAACATCTGTTGGATTGGAAGGATCAGTCTAACTCATGGCACTTTACACAAAGTGCCATGAGTTAGACCAGGGAATTGCACTTCTGTATGTGCCTCATGCCTGAGTAAGCCTTTCATATGGAGTATTACGTGCTAGATGGTATTGTAGTTTTCATAGATACACCTTGATATTTAAAACAGCTTGAAACATAGAGGTAACAGTACTCTGTGTTTTTGCACGTTTGTTATCATAGCCCTCATCTGTAAATTGAGAGCCACTGACATGAAGCCTATACTGAAAATATAATCATCCAGAGAATGTATTATTGTTTCTGTATTCTTTAAGTTGAACTGTGTTTTCCAACTCCTGGCACGCTCCCTTAGCCACTTTATTCATTTCATATGTTGGAGGCCTGTCTCATTTTTACCCCTTTCCCAAAGGATGGGGTACTATAGTGACTGACAGTCTTGGATAAATAGAATGTAGATTTTAGAAATATATGTGCTACAATACAAACAAAATCAGCTTAATTTATGTAGGCAGTTCTGTTTATATTATGTCCCTTCAAGCCAGTTGATTTAGTATTACCAGTTGACACTAGAAGTATGTTACAGATGCTAGAAGTACGCTACAAGTGCTTTGTGGGTTGTAGCTTTGCTGCTCTGATAACTGTTATGACAGGGGGTTTGTACTTGTATTTTTCTCATTGTCTTGTGCTTGTGAAATGTACCAATGCACTGAGGACCTGTTTTGTGGAGTGGGAGGCAATTCATTACACCTTTTCCATGTGTTTAAATTGAAAGCATTGGATAGTTTGTATGCTGGGGTTCACTGTATTGTGAACAAACTTTGAAGCAGCTTACATACAAGTTAAATGTATCAATGAATAATATAGTATTATAGGTAAAATAATAGCCAAAACAGAATGCATGATAAGTAAAAAGAATGTGCTGAATGAATATAGCTGGTATACAGTAGTTTAAAGAGAGTGTGCTTTTGAGAGGAGAACTTACACTTAGGAAAGGGCATTATATTAATGCAGTGGTTTTCAACCTGTGGTCCATGGGCCCCTGGAGATCTGCAGACTATGTCTAAGGGGTCCGTGAAAGATGACTTATGATCAATCAAAAGTATGTGAATACCAACACTTACAATTCAACGGGGTCCACTTCTCCATTTAAAATTTCCAAATGGGTCCACAAATGAAAAAAGATTGCAAACCACTGTGCTTAATATAAATCAGTGGTATTCTAAAACATATGTCTTAAGTATAAGGCACCTTAATAGTTTCTGTTATTTTCCTTGCAAGGTTTTACTATTCATTTCCAATTTCTTTCCTTTTTTTTTCTTTTTAATGTAACAGTGCAGCTATGTTTCGCCTACAGGCAGCGCACAGACGACTGTGCACTGAACTGGAGAATGCAAAAGACCTTGAGCCAAAAATCGCTTTGCTGCTGAAAGAAAATGTGTAAGTTAAAGGAATGAGAGTGAAAGTTATTGACCTTTATTAGTTTTCTTTTCATTCTACAGTTTAGCCCAAAGTCTTAAATCAACTTAGTGATTGAATCAGTTTTAGAAGAAATATAAAGTATCTATATATAATAACTAACATTTGAGGTGATCAAAAATTCAGGGCTTGTCTGTATGGGGAAATTCAGGGCTTGTCTGTATGGGGAAATTCCTGTATGGGGAAATTGTTTGTAGTGGGGAAATTTGCAGCAAGTCAAAGTGTGAATTTACAGCACACAAGATACCTGATGTGAAAATTCTTAATGCACAGTAAGTGAGGTAGCTTTATCTACTTTTGAAGTGTTCCATATACAGAAGACCTCAAAGACAGTCAAGCTAGTGGAAAAAAAAGATTAAAGGGCATAATCTGGTGGTTTTGTTTCCTGGACCTGTGGCAATGGTGTAATGGATTTAGCAGGTAGATATTTTGAATTCTTTATTTGTCAGGTTTGCAGCAGTTTCAAAGTAGATTAAATTTTGGGCTAAACTACCAGGCAGCTCATCATTAAAGAACAGTTCTGCTTCCGTGAAATCAACAGCAATGTTCCTGTTCACTTAAGTTGGATCAGGATTTGGCTCCAAATCTTCCAATTAAGATGCAGTACCCTCATTAAAGATCTCTAAATGAGAATCCTCCAAGAATTCTACAACAAACCATTAATATATGTCTCTCTTCCCAACTTGTGTTTTAGTTTCATAGAGCATTTTTTAAATATTTTTTCCTTCTAAAAACATTTTTCTTTTCAGTGCTGAATGTTCGTAATTCTTGAAGTCAGTTTAGGTTAGAAGCAAGTTGTTCTTCTACTTCCGTCACAAAATTACATGCAGCAGTTCCATTTAGGTAGGGCCAGTATCTGAATCTCAGCAGTTTGTAGAGCGGCTCTTATCTCTTATACCTGTGGGATTTATCCAAGGAAGAAAGTATGCATTTTGAAAAGGCATCACAAGGCTCATCTTGAAGGGATGGTATGACAGTTATCACTATTGTGAATCAGTTAAAAGGCAATCAGTTCTTTGTTTCCATATTAGGCCTTCTAAAACACTGGTCTGTATATCCAGAATTTTTTTTCTAGTTATTAGCCTACATTTCATGACCTTGAACCAAACCATCCTAAGCAGAAAGAGACATATCTGTAAAATATCATAACTTCAGTACTAGACCTTGGATAATTTGCTGTTATATTAGTAATGGTACTTTTGCACAACAGCCATCTGCATATTTAACTAATGGAAATGTATTCTATTTCTGTAAAGCTCTCCATCCTGCAGATGCCACAATTTAAACTTGAGTGCCATCATTCTTCAGTTGCTGTAGTGAAGTTTTCTTTATGGGAAACTTGGTGAATATCTGTACATTTCAGCACAGTGAACAAGAATTTTGAAAGGTCCTCTGCTCTCTTTTGAAGGAACCAAATGCTTAATATGATAGGGCACAGACCAGTTAGAGATTTCTTAAACCTCCTCTGAATTATAAATCATGTAAAGACTCCCTTAAATCAAAATAACTCCGTTTTCAAGGTAAGTGGTAACTCCACTACTTCAAGTATACACATTCGTTCTTTTGACCTTCTCTTCGGCAATTTGTTTGCGTGCAACTGTAGAAAAACACAAAAGACTCCCCCAAATATCCTACATCTGGCATTCATAGGTTCATTTATATCCCCATTTAATGAGGCAGCCACACTGCACCATGCATTGAAAAGGTATATTGCTACCTGTCAAATGAATCTCTTCAAATGTTGATTGCAAATAAATTAGCATAACATATACAGGAGCTTCCCCATACAGCAAGGCTCCTTCAGAGCCAATTTTGACCAGAACCAGCAGTTCACTGCTTTGGAAATGAAACAGTTTACCTTGGGTCAGACCCTGAGTTAGAATAAAGTGATGAAGATCAATTGGCATGGTGAACTGAGTTGAATTGGCCATGCTGGGAGTCAGGAACATTTTGCAGCAGGGGCTGTTTTTGATGAGTTTAGCTATGGGCACAGGCCACTTCCAATCAGGCCGACACTGCTGGAAGTGAAATCGGAACCAGAGCTGTGCATCTGCTGCCACTCCCACTTCTCCCTGCAGCCCAGGCAAAGCCTCCTGCCACCCCACCCTCCCACTGCTGAAACACTGCAGAAGGTCCCCAGCTATATCAACCAGATAAAATGGCTTTAGTCCATGGACTGTAGGTTGCTGATGCCCAGATTATGCTAATCTAAATGAATTGCCAATCTGAATGTATGGGTTGGTCATGTTTTGAAATATGAAAAAGGCTGAACTGCAATAAACCCACAGCTACATAATACTCTAATTACTGTCCCACCTCTTTCCTTTTCATCTATTATGGCATGTATTTTCTATTGAATAATATGTAAAAAATTATCTCTGCACATTTATGTCCTTTTTTAGGTATTAAAAAACAGTAAAGGGGAAGTAACATCTGCCCCTAGAAAAACTGGTGAGGATAAGTGCTTCTGGCAACATTAGTAGCCCATACCAGTTCATCATCCCAAGCATGCAGGTCACTTAAAATAATTAATACTTTTTGGTATCATATTTGGAGCCATTCTCCAGTTTAATATAACAAGGTTTTTATTTGTTGCAGTCTCTCAGATGCCCCTTAGAGGACTATAATGGCAAAGTAATGGATACAGTTTAGCGGTGCTCTGAATTTTTCTCCTAAATTAATTTCTCATGCTCTTAATTGATGACTCATATATATTAAATTATTCATTCAGATGTTAAGATATAAAACCAGTCATTTGCAGGAGGCAATAGACAACACTTTCTCCACCAGAGGTACAAATATCAATGAAAGGACATCAAAACAAGAATGTGAACAGGGGCTTATAGACATGCTTAACCACATGGTTAGTCAGAAAATAGAACTTCATAATACAAAATTACATAAAAGCATTAGAGGAGCTTTTTAAAGTAATTGTTTGTAACATAAGTGTTAGACCATATGTATATTTGTCTATGCAGAGAGATTTGAATGTTGTTAGGAATTGTGGCATACCAAAACAAAGTAAAAACACTTCCTAGAATAAGGCAAAGAGGCTGTTTCCTTGCAGTTTCTAATTGTTGATTTCATGCACTAGTATTAAAGTGTCTTATGGTAATTCTCACTTTTCCTCTGAATAGTTTTCTCTTTGCAATTTAGTAGATAAATTTTGCAAAGGTACTTAAGTTCTATTTCCAAAAGTGAGTTAAGCATTCGAGTTACTAAATTCTTTTGACATTTTGTGAGATTTAGGCTCTTTTGACAATGGGTTCATCTACACGTGTGCTTTACTGCAGAATTGACTAATTAGCTCTGCAGGAGAGCATCACCAGCTACATACACCCCCAGCTGAGGATGCAGTAAATTAACTCCACCCAAGAATACTATTGTCTGGGACAAGTACTATCCTATGGTGAAGTAATTTATGCCACCACAATGCATATGTAGACAGTGACCCAGGCACCAGGTTGTTACAGTGCAGGGACTCCTTACCAGCTAGCCTCACACTGTAGCGCACTCATGCCCCAGCCAGTCCCTCTGCTGCCTGATGCTGCCACCCAGAGCATAGGGCTGACCACCCCCAGGCCTCCTGCCATCCCAGGGCTGCTCCTCCCCAGCTCAGACTGTTGCAATCCTGGGTGCATGTATAAATACTGTGTCTAGGAGCAGCTGACTCCAGCCCAAACTGTGCCAGAATTTACTGTGTCAGATTAATTGCTTGTGTAGATACACTCAATGGGATTTAAAGTGCTTTTGAAAAATTTTACCCAATGTAAATATTACATTTGTGTGTCTGATCTATTCTGACCAGAATCCCATGCTTTTTTCCAGTTTGGATTAGACTCCAAACTGTCTGATCTGTCCATAGTTCTCCCATGGACTCAGTCTTAGGCTATTCCTGGAAACACGTTTTTCCCCCTTAGGTAAAGTAAACTCTGCCTGAATTTATACCCATAGCCCCATCCTTACCAAGGGAAGTTGTTTGGCTTGCTGTGCACTCCTAAGCAAAATTGGAGCCTCAGTAGTTAGCATCACATCTCTCCAGCAGGGTAGCATGGATATCTAAATGTTATAATTTCCTTTTTGAGTCCATGCTTCAAGTGAAATTAATGCCCCTTTATCCATCTTAAGCATTCTGTAGCAATACAAGTATAGTAAAACCACTCCACCCTTCACCCTACTTCATTTAGGGTCAAACTTAAGGTGATACAGCTAACTTGTATCACTGTAAGCTTCTATGTGGTGGTAACAGATCATAACACATGCTGCAGCTCCCCTCCCCTTTAAAGAGGCTAAAATGTATGTTTGTGCACACTCTAATGCCACCGGTGTGTTATCTAGGCACCTTGAACAAAACATAGAATATTAATCTCTAAGGGCCATTACTGAAAAAGCTTAGAAGTAAGGTGGCTTTGAATTAGCAAAGTATTAAAATATTGTCCCATAAACCTTCTTTTTTTACTTATATTGCTTAGCAGCCAATTTGAGGAAGAAGTTTGACACCTCTAAAAATTACAAGTATTACTAAACACTAGCACCACTCTGGATGATTAGCTACAACATCCTTTGTAACTACCAGAGTAAAACATGACTAGATTTCTGTTTTTTACTATGGAGCTACCGACTCTTCTGAATGTATATATGGTAATTACCTGATAAAATGCTGGTCCTTTTGGGGTTAACCTAGTAACTCTTTGTTTAAAAGGTATGATATGTGGCAGATTGAAATTGAGCAGGGAAAATTTGGAGGTCTCCGAGAGCAACTTGAAAAGGATGAGGAGACTCTGGAGAGACAGTACAAAAAACGGACAGAAGAACGGATTCAAAAGGAAAAAGCTAAAGTCCTGCTGATGGAACAAAAAGAGCAGGCTGTGAAAAAGTAAGCACAATTGCTGAGACTCCACTTCTCTTCCCCAGCAATTTTCTGCCCAATAAGAAATTTCATTCATGTATCAGGGGAACTCTAGGAAGGTTTTTTATTTAAGTGCTAACCATAGAACTTTGAACTGGGAAATGGAATTAAAGAAAGAATGTAAAGCAATAGCAACTCCCAGCTTAAAGCCCCTTAACTTTAGTGGGAGTTGGTCCTCTTCCAGTAGTCTAGGACTGGGTCCACCAGTTTTAATCTGTCTTTTACAGAAAAGAAATGGAATCTCAGGAGGAGTATGAGCGAAGACATCAAAAAGTAATTGAAGATGCTCAGAGGAATAATGAGAAAGCAGTCCAGTGTCTGAAGAAAACCATGGCCAGGTTTCTAATGCTTCTGCTTGATAGTGTCCTAGCACAATATCTGAAATGTATTGTTCAGTAGTCAATCTTTATGATAGGGGTGTCAAAAATATGGCCTGCAGGCTGGATCTGGCCTGTGGAGCTGCATAATATGTCCCATAAGTTTTGGACCAACCCTGCATGTGGCATGTGGAGGTGGTCTGGTGCATGGGCTGGACCTTGTACCACTGGTGTTGTTCATGGCACAGAGGGTTAGTCCAGCACACAAGCTGCATACAGCACCCATGTTTAACCAGCCCCATGCACTGGCTCTTGGACTGATCTGGATCAGGCTGTGCCACAGCCAGCGTACAGGGCTGTCTGGCAGCTGACTGCATACAATGCTTGGTCCAACCTGTGCACCACCTGTACGAGGCACTGGCTCCACTCAGGGGCTTGTGTTGCCTGTGGCGTGTAGGCTAGACACAGTGCAGCAAGCGCCACCCACAGCAGAGGTAGCCAGCATGGAATACACGCTGCATGTGGTGCCTCATTGGACAGTCCTTCACACTGGCTCTGGTGTGCACAGACAGCCTGGGCCATGATCCTGACCACCCTGGAGCCACAGACATTGGATCTAGTTTGCACACTGTCCGCAGCATGCTGTCTGTAGCACAGGGGGAGATCGCTGTGCGCATTGTCCTACCAGCCTAGTCCTGCCTATTGGCTCTGGCATGGCCGGATGTGGCCCGCAGACCTTTATCCAGCTGCATGAGTTTCCTGCTTTAAAAGGAAACATTTTACTGTTAGATGTATTTTCTGTTGGAAGTTAGAAACTTCCAGCTGTACCACCTAGAGCTATTATCCATTCAAATCCCATAAGATCCAAAGTGACTTGAATAACTAGCGTCTAAGGAAAATCCCAGTGGTTTCATGAAGTAGTATGGAAATTCAGAGGCTGGCAGCCTTCTTTTTCAGGTTATACTGGCCTTATGTTCCAGAATGTTTGGGATTATATGTTGCTGAAAGGGTTGTAGTTTAGATGAAAAGTGAAATCAAGATCCTTGGCACTTGTAGACATTAAAGATCTCTTAATGGTTTTTATATTTGTATAATTAAATTAGTGTATTTTGATACTGAAGAGACTCTCAACAAAATATTTTGTAAATCATTTTTCCTGTATTTTTGAATTTAGGCATTGGAAAGGTATTTGAGGTAATTGTATATTGTTTCCTATTTAGTTTGTTGGGGTTTTTTTAGACAATATGGCAAAGTTACAGTAACCAAGGCAAACAGAATTAACTATCTGCATTACTTGATTAGGTTTGCTGAAAACTAAATCTCTAGCAAATTAGTGGCTCTGCTGGAAGAGAATATAAGATTGTAATTATGTGGAAAATATCCACTAGTTAAAAATTAAATCAAGTATGTTCATTTTTAACATTTACCTTAGTAAGTATGGGGTTTTCTCAGGTTTGACTTGAGCCCATGGTTAGATTTATTTCTAGATCCAGTGGATGCTTCTACAGAAGATGCTTAATGCGCAGAAGACTAGTTCTACTGTGCGTTAGTGTGGCGTGTTAAACCTATGTTAATGCGCTAATGCACAGTAGATTTAGTCTAATGTGCGTTAATGTCACTAAAAAACCATTCATCTGCACTAATGCTCAGTAGCAAGAATTACGGCGCATTAAGTTAGTAGCTGTCATTACAGGTACTAAACTTAATGCACTGTAATTATGGCACATTAATGAATGTATAGATGCACCCAGTAGGTTAGCTTTAACTGTTTAAGCATTGATGTCACTGTGTGACTGGTTATATAAGCAAGACATATATCCTCTCCATACTGTAGTAGTGAGTAGACAAATTTCTCAATGTAGCACATACATTCTTCATGTTCAAAGCGTAAAAAAAATTGTTGAGCAAACTAGCTGAAAGGCATTTTTGGAACATGTAATTCAAATGGTGCTACATTCAGAAGACTCTTCCAACTGTTCTATTTTATCATACCCAATATTATAGTAAACACAGTGAGTTAGAGGAGGAATGTTGGGTGACATTAACACTACTTATTTGCCAGGCTAAGCATGACACAGTCTGAAAGGTTTTATTCTACCTACAGGATATATCAGAAAAAAGCAAAAGAAGAACTGGAAACTCAGGAGCATATGGAGAGAAGGATGCAAGCTGTGCTTTCCCTGAAAAACAACATAACTTCCAATAGGGTACAAGTACTAGTGCATAGATCAGTAGTGAAGCAATTGATTGATTAGATTGACAGATTTTAATGAAAACCATTTTAAGTTTTCACTGCTACATTTACATGATCTGGTCCTAGCACTGAAGAAGCTTCTTTTAACACTACTTATTACCTACTTATCTAACTACTTATCTATTAACACTACTTACATGGCCAGAATCACTGAGAAAAAAAAGTATTCACACAGAAAGGGTGCTAGAATCTGGCCCGTGGTGTTACTGATATGCCTTGTTCCAAACAGAAATAGTTATTAAATAAAACAGCTAATATAACAGCATAACAGTTAAAATAATTTAAACCAGCAGGAAAGCTAAGAAATTCAGAGCTAAGGTTCTTATCCTAATATTGTGTCACACATCTGTGTCTGTGTATTGCAGAGTCCAAGATGATATTCCTACTTGTTTTAATCTCCAATGCTTTTTATACATTGCTGCACAGACTAACTTGTTTCAGGCAAGTGGCTCATCCGGGGGGGGAATGTGTCCCCCGGATCTGTGTGGTGCGGGGCAGGCTGCAGCTGTGGGCTGGGGCTGGGGCCGGGACCAAGGCTGGGGTGGGTGTGGAATGGAGGGGGAGGGTGTGGAAAGCGGGGGGGCGGCTCTTGCCGCTGTGCGTGGCTCATCTGGTGCTCATCTGGCAGTTCCCACCACTCATCTGGGAGGGCATGGGCGGGGGAGGTGTGCCCTCAGATCTGCCCAGTTGGAAAGAGCCTGGCCCCAGCCTGTCTTGCACCACACCACGCAGATCCAGGGGCACGTGCCCTCCCCTCTGGTGCCCTCTTGGACAAGTGGCAGGAGCAGCAGTGCGAGCTGCCAGACGAGCACTGGAGGAGCTCTGCCCCTGCCCCTTCCCGTGCCCCCCGACTAGCTGCGCGTCTGTCCCACACCTGCCCTGGCCCTGGGTGGGCAGCTCCTGCCCCAACCCCACACCCTTGCTCCCCTTCCCCTTCCTCCACACCAGACTTACCAGCTGCATGCAGCACTCCACACTGCCGGCTCTGCTCCTCACTGCCTACGTGCTGCACTACGGCTTTGTGCACATGCGGGCATTTATTGGACAAATTATCGGCCACATCAGGCGAATTTCTGATACAGAAAATTTTCTTTATATCGGTGCCAATCCGATATCGGACCAGTGTATTAGTGCACCTCTAAACTCAACCATTACAAAGTGAATCTGGTACAATAAAACAAAAAAATTAAAAAACAAACCCAAAGGCAACTTCAAATATAAAAAAGAATAAAGGAAATTCTATCAAAGGAAAATCCACCAAAAAATCAGACACAGATAAAGGTTTCCTTACCATATTCTATTGTATAGCTTATAATATATGAATGAAATATGTAACTGATTTGCATGACTTCGTAGGAAACCCTTCGAGCCTTGCAGGCAAGGGATAAAGCAAGAGCTCTCGAGGCAAAAAACCAGGAGATGAAAATGAGAGAAACTATTCTAGCAGGAGGAGGCAATGTTGCCAAGGAGATTTTTCTCCATAAACGACTGGTGGAGTTTGAAAGACATAAATTGTAAGTAATAATTTTGTTGTGTAATTCTCAGCTATTTGTTAGTGCACATATCTATTGAATAACTATCACATTTCCACCTGCTCTTCTTTGAAACTAAAACATGTCATCTTTACTGCTCTTAGCCTTGCAACCCTGGAACTGCACTGATTCTTGGAGTATCTTGTACCTAAATATAGTATCATCCCAGATTCTTGGCTCAAGTATGCCCCATATATTTCAAAGAAACTAGTTTCATATACTTTGTCTAAGGATTTCACTCTGCTTATATGGTTAAAGTGTAAAGGTGTCATTGGTTGAAGTGTAAACCCTGACCTTAGTCTGCAGTTGTATCTGTACAGCTATAACTTTCAGCTCCACTGAAATCAGTTGTACTCTTCCCTGGTATCAGCCCTCTCAGATCAAATTGTATGATCAGGACTATATTTGTAAGGATCAAACTTTTGTCCTGCATTGATGACAAAGTAACTCTTATGAATAGTTTTGAAGAAGTGGACTAATTCTCTGTGGCTGTGTTCATTTCACGAAAGCCATCTTAGTGAGAACTATATGGTCTTCTTTTTGACAGACACAGCAATATAACTATAGCTGACCAGCCAGGGAGATGTAATGGTAGTTACCCTATGTAATCATAACTAACCTTTTGGAAGTAATCATCTAGGTTATGGTTCAAGCACAATGATGAGACTGTGTAAGGACTATTGCACTTGATGTTCAGATAAATAATAATAGCTTTAGTCTTCAGAATGCTGAACCAGCCATTTCATTAGTACTAAATGCACATAAAAATAAATATGTACAGAATTATGAGAAGTCTGTAATGGAAAAGCCTAACTGTAACCTATTTTGGGGTTTAATCCTTCATCCTTTTTCACTCTTTCATGCGAACAGGATGGATTTCAACACTGACAAGTGCAAGGTGCTGCACCTGGGGGTAAGAACCAGCAGCATACCTACAGGCTGGGGAACTCCGTTCTCGTCGGTGCAGAGGCAGAAAAGGATCTTGGAATCATTACTGGTGCCAAAATGAACATGGGCCAGCAGTGTGGGGACGCGGTCAGGAAGGCCAACCACACTTTGTCATGCATCCAGAGATGCATCTCGAGCAGGTCCAAGGAGGTGATCCTCCCACTCTGTGGCATTGGTCAGGCCGCAGTTGGAGTACTGCGTCCAGTTCTGGGCGCCGCACTTCAGGAGGGATGTGGACAACTTGTAGCGGGTCCAGAGGAGGGCCACCCACATGATCAAGGTCCAGCAGGGCAGGCCCTACGAGGAGAGGCTAAGAGACCCGAACCTGTTCAGCCTCCACAAGAGAAGGCTGAGGGGGGATCTAGTGGCCGGTTACAAACTAGTCAGAGGGGACCAGCAGGCACTGGGGGAGTCCCTGTTCCCCCCAGAACTACTAGGAGTGACTAGAAATAACGGTCACAAGCTGGCAGAGGGTAGATTCAGACTAGACATCAGGAGGCGCTACTTCACAGTCAGGGTGGCTAGGACCTGGAACCAACTTCCAAGAGAAGTGGTGCTAGCTCCTACCCTGGGGTCTTTAAGAGGAGGTTAGACGAACACCTTGCTGGGGTCATTTGACCCCAGTACTTTTTCCTGCCATGGCCGGGGGTTGGACTTGATGATCTGCTCAGGACCCTTCCAACCCTACCAATTATGAAACTATGAAAGCAGATTTGCTGCTCCTGGCAGCAAATTTGATCCCGCCTGCTCCAGCCCTGCACCAGCCCCCTGCAACAGCCAAGGGGAGCTCTAGGCTCCCCCTGGGTGCTAGCCCAGGGACTGATGGGGAGCACAGGGCCAGGAGACAGCTGTCTCCTGGTGGGAGCTAGGAGATTACCTGCTGCTGGGGCAGGCTCTGCTGCCAGAGCCCAGGTAGGGACAATGTCCCTTTGCCCCAGCAGCACAGAGGTCCCAACTCCAGTTCCCTGATTGGAGGCAGAAAGCTTGGAAAGAGCCACAGGGGAGAGGCAGGTCCCAGCCCCCTACCCCAGTCTGCTGATTACCCACCCAGCCAGGGGCTTGCTGCTAGCTTGCCCACTGGCAGATCAGGGGAGGGGAATGGGATCTGCCCCTCCCCTGCAGCTCTTTCCAAGTCCTGTGCCTCGATTACCCAATTGGGGCATGAGGCTGGGATCTGCCCCTGACCTGGACGGTTCCTGACCAGCCCTGGGATATGCAGGGAAGTCTGTACTGTCATATTGAATGAAATAATTTGAATGCTTATAATAGTTGCCCATTAGCCAGTTTAGGAAGAAGACAAGATTTATCTTCTTATCTAGGCCATTGTTTTGGTCTACGTGTGGAATGTCCTGACTTTGCTCAAAGTCTTAACTTTTGAATTTTATCTTTAGAGGCCTTTAACAAAGTTAACATAAAAATGACCCTTAAGCAAACATCCCACATTCCAAGAAATCAAAACCTAGGAGCCTTTTCAGTGATATGGAAATTCCCCAAAGTAATTAAAATGGTCAACAAAAGAAACTAATTACCAAGCAAAAGAATCTGTTAAGTAAGATCTGAGCTCAAATTTGGGAGTAGTGCAAGTGTAGGCCGGATCAGACTGATCACCTGAACCACCCTCTCTGTGAACACAAATCTCTTAGTTCACGCTGAAGCTGCGGAGCACCCAAAAGGGACTGAAGGAACGGGACTTAGTCCTATCAGTATTGAGGCCAGCCCATTGAATTGTATTGCTGAGGCGAGCCCATTGAACCGTACTACTGAGGCCAACCCATTAAATTGTACTACTGAGGAATGGAACCATATTTAGGTGTTTGGCTTCTCAGAATTTTAGAATTGTAAGTATATTATGAAAAATAATAGTATTGATTCAAATTTAACTTTGAGTTGTAATTGTAATTGTTTGGGAAGGAAGTACATTAGGAGCATTGTTTCTGATGTATGTAGTTATTGTGTTCTTAATGTTTGTGGTATTTCTTAAAGCTAAGCAGTGTTCTATGCGTAGCAAAGAATTTTATTTTAAAATTGTGTTGTATGAATTAAGTGTGTAATCATTGTGAAATCGTACAATCAACTAACTACTCCCCCAGCCAGTGCATCAAACGAATCAGTAAGTTGTGTGGGATTTTCTCTATTCCATAACCCACTAGAGACATGTACATGCAGCTCAGAGCTGGCTGTGAACTGCTTGAAACAGGACAGCCCTCTGCCACCTCCAGGCTATACCTGAAGACTTCCCCATGCAGCCTAGGGCTAGGAACCTATACCTGAAGACTTCCCCATGCAGCCTAGCTCTAGGAACTTCCCCCCCCCCCCCCCACCCCACCCCCCTACTGTCAGCTGCCCTGCTAACTGGGAGTAAATTTGCTCCTGGTCAGCCATCTACATGTGCTGTACTACACAGTAACTAATTGCAAGTAAATTTGCTACTTGTATTTACAGGTAGCAAATATACTCACAATTAGAGCTAATTACTGTGCAGTAAGCGTCTGTACGTGTAGATAGTGACGCCTACTGTGCAGTAATTTACTCTAATCTTGAGTAAAGCATCTCATGTAGATATACCTGGCATAGATCATATGCTGTGCTAGATTTAATATTGGCTCTGACATGACTGTATGTTCCTCATAGCAGTTTCTTTCTAAATTCAGCTGTCACTCTGCTAACCTGCTAAAATGCCACTTAGCTATTTTTCCTTGTCCCTTTATTTTTTATTTCTTTCCCAAGAAAGAGATGATCTATGCTCCATCATCTCTCTCTGTTGCAGCCTGAGTCTATATTTCTGATTTCCTGAATACCTAATGCTTTAGCTATTATAACCTGTAATTGAATTTGTACACTTTACATTTCAAGAAGATAACTAAATTACACATAAAATGTGACTGAGGGCTAACATGATATGTTGTTATTAAACTTTCTGTACACCTGACAGTACAAACCAGACCTAATAGTAAAGAAGGATGGTCTTGTGGTTGAATCATAGCACCAGGACTAAAAAATCTGGTGCAGTTTCTGGCTACACAACTTTGTCGCTTATCCCGTCTGTTTCATATTCCTTAAATATATTTTAGAAAGAATAGCATTTAAATGCCTTGGGGGGTTGTGAAGCTAACTTTACTTTTACTAATAAGCACTTCAAGATGCAAATCAAGAATTATATTTTCCTGACTTTATTTAGAATCAGTGGGTTTGTCTACATGTGCAATTAGTATTATATGGGTTTACTCCACAGTAATTTACTGTGGAGTAAACCTGCCATGGGCAGGCATGTACATGTGCAGCCATTTGGGAGCAGGTTTGCTGCTTATGGCAGTAGCTTGCTCCTGGCCTTCTCTGGCCCTGTTCCACCCTGCTGCAGCAGCCAGCCCGAGACCCCAGCCCCACCACACATCCCCAGCACCATGCTCACTGCAGACAATTTTAAGAAAAGCACTTTATTCCTCTCCACAAATGCAGACCCTGTGCCCCCTCCCTCCCCAACAAGAGAGTCCTTCCCCCCAACCACTCCACAATAGTCCCCTCCCCACCTCCCCGACAACAGACTCCTTCCCCCTTCCTGCCCCACAGCAGTCCCCACCCCTCGTCCCTGGGCCCTGGCCTGGGCTGCTAGAGCTGCTAGATGATTCCAGGTGTTGGGACTGTGGCAGGACAGGCTCCTGGTGCCCTGAGGAGCCCTTAGCTGCCAGGCAGTGGCAGAGGCTTAGGCAGGCCACCCATGCTGGAATACACGGCATGGCTCCAGCCAGGGTCCCGAGCATAAGAATCTGATCCAGCTGCTGCATAAAGGGCATGGATGTGTGCGCAACCCCTGACCGGTGGTTGTGGTCATTGATGCTGACCCACTGTGCCCACAGGGCCTTGACCTTTGTGTGGCCTGACAGGCCCTCATAGCCATGGGCATTGGAGCACTTGCTCCAAGCAAACTGGCTCAGGACCTTGGCCTTGTCCCATAGCACCATGAGGTCTGCTGTCTCCTCCTGGGACTAGTTTTGCCCCCAGGAGGTGGTGTGTGCCATTGGGGATGACACCAGCATGGCTTCCTGGATGGCCCTCAGGGGCTGTGCACAACAGTTCAGGTGCTGCCAGCCCTGGGCAGGTGCCTACAGTGCCCAGCACAGGGGCATGGCATAGGACAGGCAGGCAGGTGGTGCTGGGGGATAGCCCCCAGCTGTGCTGGAGGACAACCCCAGGGTCCAGGCAGGTGATGGAGGCTGGCCAGGGGCCAGTGGTGCAGGACCCAGTGGCCAGAGACTGGCTACAGATGACCCAGGGCCCTGGAGTCATCACAGCATTTTAAGGGCCAGGGCAAACAAAGAGCTGCCCCAGCCCCAGGGCTGGAGAAGCTCTAAGCCCCATGGCTCTGCAGTTAGGCCCCCTGGTGGTGGGGCTGACCAGTAGCAAATTTGATCTCGGGTGGCATCTACACATGTTCCTCTGGACTCTCTCAAGCTTCTTCACATCCTTTCTAAAGTGTGAAGTCCAATTCTGGACTCCACAGTTAATTTGCTACCTGTATTTGTAGGTACCAAATTAACCACACAGTAGACTAATTTACTGCACGGTAAGGATCTGCACATGTACACGGTGATGCTTTACCATGCAGTCAGTTAGTCAGCTGTGTGGTAAAGCATCTTGTGTAGATGTGCCCAGTAGATATTTAAACAAGTTAATTGAAGTACAATTCTAGAAGTAAAAAAAAAAAAAAAAATCTTCACAGTCAAGGTCCGTTTCAGAAAGGTCTACAGAACTTGAAGGAGTGAAGATGTAAGAAATAAAAAAAGTTTTCCTGTGGATTTTGCTCTTCTCCCATCTTCAAAACTCTGTTTCCCTTAGGCATGCATGCTCCTCTTGTCCAAATGGGTTAGTTACGCTAGAATGCTGAGTGAAATTTGTTCTTTATGGAGATACTATCAATGTAAGAATCAGACCAGTTTCAGACAGGTGTTTTCTGTTGTTATGGGCTATGACTTTAGATTACAATAACCAAAAGGGATTAAGAGAAAAAAAGGTTCCTGCTTTTCTAGTTTGTTTTCATTATATATTGATTGCACAACAGTTTTACAGATTCATCTCTATAGTCAGTCTCCAGTGTGTGTGTGTGTGTGGTTGGGTGGGTCCTACACCCCTGGCACATGTTCATTTAATGGCACGATGGAATCTGATCTCCAAGCCCAACAATTGTGCCTCCTGCCTTGCCACATGTATGGCAGTAGCCATGATATTGGGATTGGGGATTAGATCCCAATAGTTCCATTACTACTTGTTAGTGCAGGGAAGCCTGGGCTTATGCTGCACTAGCAAGTTGAAATCCAGGTGCCTGAGCAATCAGCTGATTGTTAGGCCTACCAGACAGTTATGAATCCCATTAGAGACCCAGGGATGTCTGGGGACTGGAGCTGACAATCACCTGATTGTTGGCCCCAACCTGGACACTCCCAGGTCTCATTCACCCAGAGCTGGAGGGCAGAAAACCAGTTGATTGTTGGACCTGGCCCAGACAACCCCAGGTTCAAGACCCAAGGCTGTCTGGACCAAGGCAGCAAGGATGTAACAATCATTTGATTGTCAAAAACCCTGTGCTGGGCAGCACTGGTCTGGCTGTCCAGGGTGGTGGAGCAGAGGCTTTGTAGAGCTGCCTAGCACATGGTTTAAAGTCCTCCTGCTGGGGAAAAAAGTCAGCTGATTGTTGGTCCCAGGGCCCTTCTAGACATTAGTGCTGTCTGGGCCCCAGGATGAATGATCAGATAATTGTTGGTCCCCAGTTGCACCTTATATTTAAGGTGCCATACAAGCAAGGCCAAAAAGTGTTTTACATTTTATATATATATAGCTTATTCCCCATTTTACGGCTTTTTAAATTGGGTGCATAAGTAGCACCCTTCCTATTTATGCTGTGATGAATATATTAATCATGACATACATGTAACATAAAGAGGGGGCCTTAGACACAGCAAGAGAGAACAGGGGAATAAAAAGCTGATTTTACAACTGTAGGTATAGGCAATGAAATTCAGGAGACAGCACAGGACCTGGAATTACTTACCTGTTTATACAATCCCAGTTACCATGGTATTTGAACATCTCACTTTCCATAATACAGTTATCCTCTTACCTTATGCCACAGAAAACTACCGTGATTAGTACCAGAATTGCTAGGATCAGAACTGAGGCACAGAATTACTAAATGGCTTGCCCAAGGTTACCAGGAATTCTGTGGTGTGGCAGAGACTTGAACAGTATGACAGAACAGTCCAGTAAAATCTAGGTAGTTGGTGGGATTAAGCTTTGTAGCCCTCATGCTGCTGAGGGTTTGCAAACATGTAGGTCATTAACAGCAAGACAGCTGAGATGTCCCTGCAGATTGTTGTGGCTTTTATTTTAAAGGGCATCACTTCTCCAGTTAGCTGCACTGGACTGCTAAGGAGCACCAGCTGATCAGAGAAACAACATCTTTTGAAGTAAAAGCTGCAGCAAACAGATGCATGGCTCATCCTTTATTTGCCAACATGTTGCAAATTAGGCAGGTTGTGAACCATCTGGATACAAACTATCCAGGTTCTGCATTACTACACATCCTCAGACTAATACACAAACCATTGGACAGTCCTTTTTCTTTACTCTTTTTTTCCTTACCACTAAATCTCAGTTTGAGAATATCACTTTAAAGGATAAAAGCAAATTGAGTCAACAAAATTGTAGGCTAAAAACTTGTTTTAGTTTTCATTTAAAGGAGTGGTCCTGAATCCTGTGCCAGTTTTTTCATAATGTTCTGATTTCAATATTTACTTCATGAAAATACTTAAAATCCCATGTCATTTTGGCACAGACAAATGATCGCTGCAGCAAAATGTGGAATCCTGCTTGTTAGTTTAAGGGCTCAAAAAAAGCCAGACTGTTTGTACATAGAATTAGAAAAGCCATTATCGAGCACTAACATTTTTATTAATCTTTAAATACAGAGAATTCAAAGATCAGCAGAAATCTAAAAAAATTGAGATTGTAGCTCGGATTTTGCAAGAGGAAGCTTATATGCAGAAGCAAGAAAAATATCGATCTCGTACAGAGGCAGTGAGGAGTTGCAGTAAACTTCAGGATTCTGCGCCGTGGAAAATTAAAACATGGAATTATATTGAAAAGACCTGTGAAGATCCAGCTGCAGCAGTATTGCAGGTAAGCAGAGCTATAATGCCTCACAAGGTGTAGAGAACTTGTTTGTCTGCTGTTAGAGTACTAGGTGAAAAGATGTTTCTTTTGCCCTCTAAAAATGAATGGTGTGTGTTTGGTACCTGTGAACAAAGTAAGAGCTAAATTCTGTACAATAGAGCGTCTGCACTTCACCAGCAGTTCTATCAACCTGCAAATCCAGTCTCAGCTCTCTTGAGCAGGGATTTTTTCTTGTTTTGAACTGAGTAATAGAATATAGTTGTAAAAATGACTGAATTTTCACACTAGTGCCTCCAAGAACTAAAACTAAGATAATCCAGGGTGCCCTTATTTTCTGATTTATTTACCTTCTACCCTGGCAAGCACCAGGTTTCAGAGTGTTTTGTCTGTTTAAGAAGAGCTGAACACAGTTCTGTTTAGAAGCCTTCCATGAAGCTTTTAAATCTGGCAAAAAGGGGATAATTCTCATCAAATGTATGATCCTTCTATCCAGTCCCTGGAAGTATTTTATTCTGAATATTCAAGACAAACTGAGCCAAAGAGTAAGGGGAAGTTTTTTGTTCACAGTTTTGGATCTGTCCATGTGATTTATGGGCTGATGCATGTTTCTGATACCTTTTTAAAACACAAAAACTTCTCTGCTAGTGAATATGGGTATTATAAATCTGATGTTAGAAGTTTACACAAGAAATTGGGCTATACAGTGGTCAGTTTTTAAAGCAGCTACATGGCAGAATACTTTCATAAATATCCTTCTGTTTGATTGAACATTGATTTCTAGACTTCTAATTCCTGGCAGTGATGTGTTGCAACTTGTTGAAACATAAGGTTTTGGCTATGCTTACTGTCATTAAGATTTATTAACATAACACAGTCCTGTTCATTCAAACCTCAAAACCTAATAAAATATATTAAATTGTCTATTTCTAAAGTGTTACTATTGGAGTAGTGACACTTGAATAGTAATTTCAAAGTATATCCTAATTTGGCTTCTGTCTCGTAGAAGTCTTGGCGCTCTCCATCTGCTTGTGCCTCAGTTGATGAAAAATCCAGTTCTGAGAAGGATTTTTCAGGAAAAGTATCACACAGTATGATTTATGGAAATGATGAGGAAGAAAGTGAGGAAGAGCAGGACGAGACTCTAGCTGAGCCAGAGTTTACAGGACTTTGGAGTCAAGAATATGCCTTAAACAAGGTAAAACTTTCATTTTCTGTTATTACTTCATGTTTCTGTTCTAAATTTCCTTTCACTTGGCCCTTTGTCATGTGAATGTATGACTCAGTGTTTTTCCATTTGAAAGTTTCATTTTTTTTAAAGGGTACTGCACTTGAACAGTTTTTCTAAAGAGCATTTTTTGTTCTATTATATTCAGTTTCTTATGTTTTTCTCATCATCGTGTCAGAGTGCCTTTCAGTAGTGAATTAAGCAGTGTCTGACATCTCTCCAATGTGGTTTTCTCCTTTTTGTTTGTAAATGGAAAATTGCATCAGGATTTGTTGATAATTGGGTGAAATTATGACTCCACTGACATGTCAGAAATTCCCATTGGATACTGAGGGGCCAGCGTGTCACCCATGTTTTTCCCTTCCCCTGATTTCTTTCTGTGACATGGCAGTGGGCTCTGTGGATGTGGGGAGAACAGTGGATATGATATACCTTGAATTTTAGTAAGGCCTTTGACACTTTCTCCCATGACATTTTCATTAGTAAGCTAAGGAAATACAGTTGAGATTAAAATAATGTAAGGTGGGTACATAACTCATTGGATTCATTGTGCTTAAGGAGATGTCTTCAAAATCCTGATGCCTAATTGGGAAAAGGCATTAGGTGGGATTTCCTTGGGTCTGTCCTAGATTTGGTATTGTTTAATATCTTTCAAAGTGATTCTTTCACTGTACTTGGCACTGATGAGGCCCTACTTGAAGGACTGTGTCCAGTTTGGGACACTACACTTCAAGTGGATGTGGACAAATTGGAGACTAGCAGAGAGCAGCAAAAATTATTAGAAGTCTGGAAAACATGATTTATGAGGAAAAGCTGGAAGAAAGGGTGGTTATAAAGAAGATAATAGAATATTCTCTGTGGCCACAGGGGACAGAACAAGAAGTTAAGGTCTTAATTTTCAACAAGGGAAATGCAGGCTGGATATTAGGAAGAACTTTCTAACTCTGAGGGTGGTTAAATACTGGAACAGATTACCTAGAAAGGTTGCAGAATCTCCATCACTGGATGTTTTCAAGAGCAGGTTAAACACTTGTCTAAGGTGGCTTAAACGGGGGGTGATTTTTACTTGAACAGGGAATTGTACCAAACGACCTCCTGAGATCTCTTCCAACCCTACTTTTCTATGAGTCTGTGTTTTTAAAAAAAAATGTTGAGAGACAGGTGTATCAGTTTGTGATGACAGGATGGGAGGGGTACAATACTGATTGGTCTTATTTCCTTTTTTTTTGGTACTTGTTTGTTAAAAATTATCAAATTAATGTGTGGCACCAGGATTTTCAAAGGATGTTACAGGAGTAGATGAAACTCCTTGAGATTTGGCTATCTAACTCACTTTGCTTCCTTTCAAAATTCCGTTCTTGAAATATAATTATTTACTCCTGTACCATTCTTCAGGAAAAGTACGCTCACACAATCTAATTGGCATCCCATTGCACACTAAATAAATGCTTTGTGTGTTCCTCCAAAACATTGATTTTAAATCTCTCAAATAAGGGCATTTTCAGTGACTTTTTTAGTAGCATCATCTAAAACTAATATTGTTTGTATCTGTTTTTCAGTAGAAAATGTGGATTCAGCACTATTGTAGAGAGTGCTTAAAGTATCAGAGGCTTAAGAGAGGAAAAGGGTGACTTAACAATTATTAATAGAACCACTAATCTTTAAGAATATTATCAATCAAAGCAGTTAAAGTTTTATGCTATGTTCTTATAATATGTATTCTCTTAAATAGAGGAAGTGATCTGGCTTAGTTTTAGTTTAGAGAGTAGTAAAGACATACATTACTTTATATTTAACTTTCCAAATGGAACATGGCATTTGTTGAGTTAATCATAAAAAATGTGATTTTTTGCCCAATGCTAAAATAATTTTCAGTGCATCAAAGTAACAACATTTAGGATTCTGAATACAAATAAATATACATATGCAAAATGGAAATCTTTGTTTTCATTATCAGGCAAGAACTCACACATTCTCCCAGAGCGTACACCTTTCATGAGATCTCTCTTTTGAGTTGCATAGGACCTTGAGAACAAACTTGAGCGTCAAAGAAAAAGACACACTATGGGCTCATCTACACAAGACTCTATGGTGACGTAGCTCGTCGCTGTGCCAATGCCACTGCTATGACCAAGCAGCAATGAGTTACTGAGGAGTAGCTCGTTGCTACTGTGCAATAGGGTCAAAAACGACCCGTGCACTGCTGGGACTGTGCAGTACCAGTGGGTACTATGCAGTCATTTAGTACTTGTTTTGGCAAGTACTAAATGACTGTGCAGTACCAACTGTACAGTCAGGGGCACATGTAGACACACCCTATAAGTACCAAAGTATTCTTACATTGAAGAAAATAGCTACAGAACCAAAATTGCTATAGAGTTGTCTGACTCTTGGGCTAGGTACCGTCAAGTGGGTGCGAAACTTGTCACCTGGACAAGAGAAAAGCGGTTGACATCATATACCTCGACTTTCAGAAAGCCTTTGACCTGGTATCCCATGAGGTACTGATCAGAAAACTGGAAGATATCAGGCTCAACTGCAGGACCGTCAAGTGGGTGCAAAACTGGTTGCAGCTGCAGCTGGAGTACTGCGTCCAGTTCTGGGCACCGCACTTCAACAAGGATGTGCTAAAGCACAAGAGGGTCCAGAGAAGGGCCACCTGCATGATCAGGAACTTGCATGGGCAAGCCATACAAGGAGAGGCTGAGGGATCTCAGACTCTTCAGCCTAAAGAAAAGAAGGCTGAGAGTGGACCTGACTGTGGCTTACCGCTATATCAGAGGCGTACATCAAGGGCTCGGTGAACAACTGTTCATCAGGGCATCCTGGGGGAAAACTAAAAACAACAGCCACAAACTTCTGGAAGATAGTTTCAGGCTGAACATTAGGAAAAACTTCTTTACAACTAGGGTGTCCAGTCTATGGAACAAGCTCCCTCCAGAGGTGGTGCAATCATCTACCCTAGATGTCTTCAAGAGAAGACTGGATGGTCACCTGGCTGGGGTTGTCTGACCCCAGATGTCTGTCTTGCTCATGCAGGGGGCTGGACCCAATGATCCCTCGGGGTCCCTTCCAGCCCTATGATTCTATGACTCTTGGGTTAGGTACAGACGTTATACTTATGCAGTAAGTGCACAGAAAGTGCTTTATAGCCATAACCAAGCAGACATTCACGGCACACAGAGTGCTTTAAAAATCCCTGCATGGATGTGGTATCAGACTAGAGTGCTTTAGGTTAGAATGTTTTATCAAACTTCTGTACCAGACCCCACTGTGAGTCAAGATAGGCTGCATTCTGCCAGCATCCCATGGGGCTTTACAGCACCCAGCTCATCCTGTCTTGCAAGGTGGTATTCTGTCCTCAGTCAGAGTCCATCTGTTCTTTCTGAGCACTGGGGCAGCTTCACCACAGGGCTGTCACTGACAAGAGTCAGCGAAGCCTTTGTCCCCAGCCCTGCATCCTTCCTCTGGCCAGCTGTGAGCTGCAGTGACACTAGCATGGGGAGAGGATCTTTGTGCCTGCACTAGCCCCAGCACTGGGGAACCCACTGGGGCAAACCACTAGAAAGACAGAGAGATGAGGGATAAGGAAGAGATCTAGTGCCAACTCCTGAATGGACACCACAACAAAGATGTCTTTGAGTACATTGCCCAGCAGATGTAGGCACAGAACCACAACAGGAACTGATCGCAGTGCCATGACAAAACCAAGGTGCTGAAGAGTCAGTTTCACCACATGCATGACACCAATGAGAGGTCTGGGGCCCAGAGTCAGACCATGCCCTTCTACAAGGAGCTGTCCCTTTTCCTTGCCAAGAACAGGGCCTTAGACACCCCACACACCTATGCCACCACAGGGGAGTCAATGGAGTTGCCAGTAGCAACTGTACTGGAGGAAGAGGTGCAAGGAGGCCCCAGGATGGCAGGATAATTGAATGCCCAGCAGCAGGTCCCCAGGGGCCATGAACACTGCATGCTCCTGGAGCCTGGGGGGGGCACAGTGATCACCCGCCGGTGGTGGCGGTGGTGTTGACAGCAGGGGCATGGAGGCAGCGAGCGGGGAGCTCCTGCAGGCAGCCGCTGTGGTGTCAGCAGCAGGGGTGGGCTGAGCGGGGAGCTCCCGCAGGTGACCACAGTGGTGGCGGTGGGGTGGCGAGCGCCGACTAGCAGTTGGCAATCACCCACAGATGCTGCCAGCAGCATCGGCAGTGGCCAGCAGCGATCAGAGACCACCCGCAGGTGCTGCCAGCAATGTCAGGGGTGGGGGTGGCGAGTGGCGACAACCCGCAGGCGCCGCTGGCAGCAGAGGCAGCGCTTTTTATAGGGGGTGCACTGCCAATCTCAGGGGGTGCACGTGCACCCTCTATGCATCACCAATGCCAGGGGCCACAAGGCAAAAGCACAGCTGCTGGAGCTGGCTGCTAAGGAGCCTGGTGCATTGTTGCTGGTCCCTTCATCTTCACAGGATGTGGGAGCTGAGATGCACTTGCAGCTGGAAGAGTGCTTTGAGGAGATCTTCTCCCGTGGCCGAGAGAACAGAGAATGGCATGCAAGAAGGGGAGGAGAGCTCCAATACCACAGACATTGGGACGCAAGATCTGGAGTCTGGGCACATGCCCACCACATCACAAGCCACCCCCTCACCTTGGACTTTGACCCTGCAGACTGCGGCTGAGCTTGAGGGCCCTTGGACACTGTTCCCCACACAGGGGCCACAAATGTCCCAAACCCACTCCTCTCATACCTTGATGCCCCCCTCCCAGAGGTACAGAACATGTATCAGCTGCCCCACTACCAGTGCAGTGGCTGCTGCACCAACACGATCCACGACCAGCCTTCCCCACACGGCTCCTAATGACTCATGTCCTGAGAGAGGATGCTGTACAGCCTGGGACAGTACAGTTTGCCACTGCTCCATGCAGCTGTGATGGGGACTGAGGGAAATGGGGAGCCCCTTGGGGGAAATGAAGAGGGGATGGGGTGGAAATCACAGCCTCTACAGGCCATCCCTATGGTCATAGCCTTTTCTCAGGCCATTGTGGCCAGGAAGCCCAGAAATCACCCTGCCCTGCCCACTCAGTGTGGGGCCCTAGGCTGCTATGTGCTGGAAAGGTTTCTGTCCTTTAGCACTGAGCAGAACAGTGACCCCATCCCCTCACTTACCCCACAAACCCTGCCCTCCCATCCTGGAGCACAGTGAGATGCTAAGTTCCCTTTCCCCCCTGGCCTCAGGCATTTAGCAGCCTATGTCCCATTCAGTGGGACGTCAGTCTATGTAGTTGACACCTTGTCTTATCTCTCGGGGCAGTGCTGAGCTCCTGGGAGAAGTGAGTCTCACCACAGCTGCCTCAGGCAGTTGCACAGAACTGCCTCCCCTGCCACACAAGCAGGCATGGAAAGGTGCTGGCATTTATTGAGCTCTGCAGGCAACGTTTAAAAAGCAGTTACAACAGTGGTTGCATGGTGCCCCACCCTGGTAGGCATTGCCACAGACCCAGCTGGCAGAGAAAGCCCAAAGGTCAGGGACAGGAGATAACTTGCAACTATGTATGAGAACCACTACAGCTGTAGCACAGCAGGAAGGAGAAAAATTTCCCCGTGTAAAAAACCCCAGTCCTCCCTCCAAGTCCAAGACAGGGACAGATGTGATAGCAGGAGTCCCACTCCACTCTCGATGCCAGGGTAACTCCCAGGTTGTGCACCTGGAAAAGCTGGCAAGTGGCACTCCAGCACTTTTCCCCTTCCCCTCTGATCCAATCCTTGGCTAAAGTCCATTGGGCAATGGTTGATTTCAGTTATCATAATGCAGGCAGTAACTATACCAACCATTCAAGGCAACCACCAATCCCCGCTTCTGCAATCATGGTCCCATCCCAGCCCCTCTACCCGAACCCCTAAAAGTAAAGCAACCTCTCCCCCACTCCCTCTCCTGGAGTATGCTGAATAGAACAGCAGTTCTGGAAAGCCAAGGGCAGCACATGGTAGGACTCTTTTTAGGCAGCTGGAGTCTGGGGAAATTCTCTCTGGGGCAGACCACAGCCCGAGCGATGCATCAATAGTGGTGGCAATCATGAACTCTTTTTGCAGTGTCAGCTCATCATAGCAGAGGCACAGGTACAACTCGAGGTGGATTCTCACATTTAATGGCAACCCAGGGTTCCCCAGTGTGTTATCAAAGCAGATGGCCTCTCTCCAGCTGTCAATATGCTCTCAAGGGACCATGTCCAGCAGCAAGAGCATGGCTTATTGCTTGAGGCTCCCCCGGGGGAACTAGAAAAGCTCCTCCCTCCAGGTCTGGCCAACTCTCACCAGAGGAATGTTGGGAGCATAGTCCTGAGTCATCATCAGGGACATAGGGCCAAAATGCCTCTCCTGAAAGGGAAGCACAGGGGAGGGGGATGGTGTAAGAACCTTGCTGTCCCAGCTGGGTCTCACCCCAGTAAATGCTGCTCTTACAGAGACCTAGCACTGAAATGTCTCTCCTGTAAGGGAAGGATGAGGGGGAAGGGAGCTTTGTAAGAGCCTCTCTGGCATTTCCTGGAGCAGTCACTCCATTCCTGCTCTGGGGATGATTTGAGTCCGTGCAGAAATCAGTGTCCCTGGATTCTGGTTCAGGAGTAGAGCAATTGCCGACCACAGTGCCTGCAGAGGGACCCAGGCCCTATCTCCCTGGCAACCCTTCTTTGCCCCACTGCAGGTGTTGCCCATCCACAGCAGAGACAGGACCCATGGACTCTGCTGTGCTGGGTGGAGAGCAGCTGTGTGGCTCCTAGCCCTGGGCAGGGGAAGGGCCCTGATGGGGACTCACTCTCCTCCCTTGGTATGTCAGCATGAGTGCCCAAGTGAATGATGAGCGGTTCCAAAATGCTTTTCTTAATACGTTTTATCACTAGAAGTTGCAACCTTGCACAAAGGCCCTGTGTCTCCCTTGTCTGCAGGCTCCGCATCTGTGTGTAGGAGGCTAGCTCACAGTGGCTGGCATGGTGCGTCATGACCAGGTGGCTGAACACCTGCAGAGAGTATGAGAGATGTGCATAGGAGGTGCCAATGAAGTAAGGAAGGGATTCAGGCTGCCAGTGGAGAAAGCAGTGGCAGAGGGGCAGGTGGTGCGAGAGTCAAGCAGCCTGCCCCTATCACTGGCCACCCCTCTGCCTACCTCCCATGCCTGCCCTCTCTGCCCTTCTGCTACTTGCCCACCCCTTGCCTGCACCTCCTGGCACCTATCCTTCCTTCAGTGCATTCACTCTCCCTGCCTTCCTCCCCTCTGCCATCCCTAGCCCCCCCATCTCCCCTCCAACCATCTTCCCCACCACTGCCTCCCTTCATCTGCTCCTTCCCTGCTACTTACTCTGCAGCTCCAGCCCTGTTCTAAACCAGGGCACAAAGCATGTGCTTACTCTGTCCCTAGCCCAATAGCAGTGATGGCAGCAGCAGCTATTACTGAGCCAGGTTAGGGCCAGAGCAAGCATGTGCTCTATGCCTTGGGTTGGAGTGGGGCTGGAGCCTGTTAGAGTCAGAGGGTGGCATGGGGAGGGAGGGGTAGATGGGAGGAGGCAGAAGCAGCAGGGGTGGGCAGCAGCTGTGCCTCCAACCGCAACCCTAGGTCAGTGCCAGAGCTAGAGCTGCAGCAGCCACTTGCCTCCTCCCCGCCCCCCATCACCTTGGACTCAAGTCCAAGATGAGGGCCTCCTATGTTAAATGGGGAGCGGGGTTGAATCTCATCTTGGAATCAAGTAAATACTGTCTATTTAGATAGTCGTAACAAAATACTTGTTTGGTCTTTTAGCTTAGCCCGAAATAGAAAGGAGGGTAGAGGGACTAAGAAACTGCACATTCATTCATCCTCAAGGGAATTGTCTTGTAGTGATTTTGATTGTATGGTTGGAATCTTTGGAAGAATGCCAGCAATAGGTATGAGGGCTTAGTATGGGACAGCTAGAATACTTATATAGCGCAATGATTCAGTATTTCCTGTCTGTTCTGACCACTGCTATTTTATCTCTTACAGACATCAGTTTCAATGCCTAAATTCAGTTCTTCCTCTTGACTTTTTAAAAATATATATTAAAAAATAACTTGTCCAGAATTAGTGAGAAGTGGCCCAAACCACACTGCTTCCTGTTATGATGTGCACACCGGGAAATTGCATGCCTATGAACACGCAGGAGCATTTTCCTCATATGCCATTCAAAATGCGTGTCTATACTTTTTTTCCTTTTTAATTACATTTTTTTCAGTCTTAGTGTAAAAAGGACCAGGTTCTGTTTTCTGCTGAGCTTAGCCAGCTCCTGTTGATTGGTCTAGAAACCTCACATCAAATATAAAGCCACCATACAAATACTAATCCATAGCTACACAGTCAGTGCCTGCTAGTTAAAATACAGGAATTTGTTTGCTTAAATGAAGGTACACATTTGTCATCTCAAGTCCTGTTCAAGAAGTATGGCTAGAATAGAAGAATATGCAGTAGTTTATTTTAATAATGACACTCTTTGTTGATCTCAATTATTAGGTGTCAAAAGAAGAAACTGATCTAAAACCGCATGGCGCAAGTAAAATGGAAAGAGAGATTTTCACTCAGAACCTGAAGAAACTCCGAAGTGGAATGATTCACAAGCAAGTAGTGTCCGGTCATGAATTTAAGGGATGCCCTTTTTATAGCAAACCAAGTGTCATTCACTTTGAGGTTGGTATAATAAGAGCATATGTGTTTCCACTGTATTTATGCATCCCAAGATCCTAATAAAATAAATCCATTACGTTAGAAACTTCCATCATCTTTCGTGGGATTTGAATCAAACCTTAGGGTCAAATCCTGCTCACCTTGCTCTTGGTGATAACTGAATTCAGTGGTAGGATTTGGTTCTACAATGACATATAGCATTTTAGAAAAGCTTAGTAGAGGAGGGCTGAGCTTTTAACTGCCGTTAGCTTGGAAACACTTTCCTAAGTTTAAATAGTTCATATACTGTGACAAAGGTGATCACATAGTCAAATGCTGCTTGGAGAGATGCAGCTATATGTTTTTTGTTAGTCTGTCTTCTATACTCATCAAAAGTGAATGAATGTAAATAACAGTTTCTAGTGTAGGTGGCATAGATTTCAAAGTGCCTTTGCTATGTGGGACAGCATCATTTCCCCAGTTAAAAGATGCACAAGGAAAATGATGTAGAAGCTGAAGAAAACTAAGTGGCTCTAATCCAAGTAGATATGCTTTCCCAAAGTATCAAATTGACATCTTGGCTCTGCCAAGGTGTGAGAAGTCTTTCTAAATCTTAAGGTATATTGTCAACATGACTGAAAGCTCTGCCTTCATGTGCTCTGTCCTTTGGCAAACTGCCAGTGATAGTTTCATGTCTCTTCTCATATAAAGAAAATGAAAGATGACAACTACATAAGAAGATGGGGGCAAAAGGAAGAAATCTTTTATTTTTTCTGATGAAACTAGAGGTATTCTTTAATTTGCTACACAGTTTGTGAAGTTTTGATGTCATAACTAAAATGCAGTTGGCCTCAAGTCCCTATTACTTCCTTAAGGCTTGTGAAAATATTTTTCAAGAGATTTCAGTATTTCCTTTGTTTAGTTCTGATCCCTTTTCAAAATCCAGCCACTCTGACCATCTAATTGGAGCTAAATTAGGTGTAGATCACTTTTGAAAATCCACTATTCGATTGCAGGTAAGATCTTGAAGTTTTCTATCTTTAAAAAGACCAGGAAATCAACTATTCACTTGTTTTATAGTTTCCCTTCAATAATTTTCATCTATTTCTTTGCATTTTGTCTGCATGCACATTGGGCAACTGAGTAACAAGAGCGTCCTGGTCCAAATGTAGGCCCACCCACTTGCTTCAGGGCAAACCACCTACTTAGCTCGTCTGCCATGCCTTGATGATAATGATTGAAATATGTCAATAAGGTGGGAGGCTGCCCATTTACTTGTCCTGATGCCAAGGGCTTATATACATGGCGCTGACCTCCCCTGTACTATGTCCCATGCCTCACAGATGGCATCCATGGCCTAATACCCAGCCCAAGCTTGTTTGGCCTAGCACCCGCCCTCTAGCTCATTTGACCTGACACCTGGCTTTCAGCTCAGTGGGGCCTCACCCAGCCTCCAGCTCAGCAGGGCCTGACACCTAGCCTATAATCTGTTTGGACTGACACCCAGCGTTGATTTGCTTGGCCTGACACCTGGCCTATAATCTGTTTGGCCCAACACCCGGCTTATGATCATACCACTCAGGGCTCCCAGCCCCTACCATTCTCACAGGCTCCAAGGCTGGCTCAGGATCCTCATGGTCCCCTCACTCAGGGTTCCCAGCCTTTACCATTCCCCCAGGCTACAATCCCCTGCTCTACACAGGATCTCACAACTCCCCTGGAGCCTCACAGCTGGCTCAGTCTCCTAGAGCCTCGCATCTGGCTCTTAGGGCTCCCTAATATCCACAGGGTTGTGGGGGCTTGGGGTTATAAGGTGCCCCACACTCACCTTTCACTGTGGAGGTGATTGGCCTGGCATTTCCAGGGACTACACCGCCATGGGCAGCCCCACCAGACCATCTTGCCTCACCAGGGTGTAGTTTTTTGTCATACCCAGGATAGGGAGCCTCCTACCATCCCCATAGCCCCCCAGACCTCCAAGGTGTTGCAAGCAGCAGCTCCAGCTGGGTGTTGTTCTCCCATCTTCTAGCAGCAGACTGCTGGCTTTGCTGCTCAGGGCCCTGCTCTTATAGTAAACAGCTGGGCCCTGTTCTCAATCAGGTAATTAGGCCTGATTGGGAGAATAGCCAGCTGCAGGCTGCTTTGCTGCTGCCCATGCCCCTAGGAGTAATGGAGCACACCTGGTGCTTTGTTACAATTGTCAAGGCCTTCCTAGGAACTTCAAATGAATCCATTCTTGCTATGCTATGTTATGTCTACCTATGAAGAATATAATGTAGAATAGTACTGGAGTATATAAGACTGTGGATCTCCCTTTAATGTAATTGTCTAACACTTTCACAGCAAGGAAATGACTTGTAATCATCAAATTACCATGTGATCTCATCACCAGTTTCCTACCTTCTCTTGCTAGTTTGTTACCCAGTTGCTCTTCTTGTTTCAACTTGGCGTGTTTAGGTCATGGCCATACATTCTTGTGTACTTTTATATAGCATCTGGCAACAAGGACCGTAATCCCAATAGGGACTGTTGGCATCATTGGGGCCCAGTCAGTAATGGTACCATCATCACATAAATAGTACTAGTTCCAGGCAGTGTGATCTAATCTGTGTGATCTTTCTAGGACTTTGATGTTGGTAAAACCTACAAAAAGAAGATCATTTTGATAAATGCATCCTACAGTGTTAACTTCTGCAAGCTGGTGGGAGTCAGTGAGCATCTTAAGGATTTCATCAGTATTCAGTAAGTAAACTGCCTCAGTTTCAGAATGTGATTTATTACTCCCTTAAAATCAGGATGCTGATAATGTTACAAATCAGGCAGCTCTTAAATTTATTGCATTATGTTTTATTCTTGGTGCAGTTGGTGCTATTAGATCTTCTAAATAGACAACATCTAAAGCAAATCTTATCTTCCTTTGCTGTTCTTCCTTTCTTGCTCTATTCTCTTATTTGTATTTGCATTGTAGTACGAAAGTGCAGTATGCATCAGTTATCAGACCCCCAAATGTGGAGTGTAATTCCCACTCAATCTCATCCGTGTTTGTGCTTTAAAAAGGTGTCTCTAATTGGGTTTCATTAATTACTATCCACTCCAAAACATACATTGCAATAGAAATACTCTGGCTGAGATTTTTTTAAAAACATAGTACATAAAAAGAATTAGAGGCCTCACTCCAGGCTCTTTTTTGTTACTGGAAATATTGGCAAGTGCATTTATTCCCTTTACAGAAGTTGGTCAACAAATCCCTATACCAGACATGCACAGAATACCCAAACCAGTCACAGCAGTATTCTGGTTCATTTGTCCAGATCTTGAGTAAACCCCTTCTCTGTTTGGGAGACTCACAGAGGTGCTTGCCATTGACAGTACCTACACATCATGGAACTCTAGACTTTATAAATGGTTATCTTTCCTAAAGAAAGGCCTTCAGAAACTTCACTATGTAGCCACCACATAGCTGGGGCATCATGCTGTGCAGCCCAGTGGAAATGCTAAATCACTGGCTCCAAAGAACCACTTTTGTGAGAACCACTTTCCCAGCTGTGCTTAGATCTTTTAATCCTCCTGAATCCTTATGCTCAATATGGGTGAGAGAGTATAGTCCCATCCTTCCCATGGGAAATGATGCTTCAACCACTTTTTAAGATGAAAAAAAATTGTAATTTGTTCCTTTTTTCATGGAATAAGGCTATGGCTATGTGCATAGACAAAGAACTGGAATAACGTTTTATTTCCTGATGCAGCTGCTGCTGCAACTCCTCCTGACTCCAGAGTTTCTAATTATGTTGCCTAACAAAGAAATAGCATTTTGAGTGTAAAGGAAGTATCAGAATAGAAACAGAGAGGAGTGAAAATGTCCATGCTAGCGCCAATAAATTTTTCGTTCAAGCTTCTGGGGATAACCTGTCTTCAGAGTCTATGATGGTAATATATCATGAAAGCACATCCAGTAATTCACTTTGAAAATAGCATGTTTCAAGCTTTCCTTTAATGCAGTGCTTAAAAATCTAGTTCTTGTTGCCCTCAAATTTTGAAGAGATCAAGCATAATGAGCGAGTAGGTATTAGGGTCTTCATGGAAATAACCTGCTTTGAAGTTAAATAATATGTGACTTGAAAAATGAAGTTAATGTTAAGAAAACAATTAGGCAATTACATCAAGTTCTTTTTGGCAAGATAAAATTTGCATTCCTGTAGCTCCTTCCTTATTACAGCTACTAAAGAGAAAGTAGTTAATGTTGGAGTTAGGTGTCCATTTTCTACTGAATTTCAGTGTCTTTCAGATACCCAATTTCCCTTGGCTTCTTTAAAAATCACAAAAGATTAATCATGGAATTTTGAAGCATCCACATAATGTGTAAATTCAAGTCCTTACATAAATCAACAGACCTTGTTGCTTTTTAAAAAGCCACCCCCTTTGACCATGTGGGCAAATAGGTTAACCCTAGTAGTGGTACAGTTGCTATTTCAATGTTGACATTAAAATAAGTGCACTGATGGAAGGAGGAAAGGTGTGTGTCCACTAAAAATTTCATCCCAATTTCACACATATTGGTGATAAAAGATAATTAAACATAATTTGCAAATGGGACTATTTATTTGTTAGATATATTTGATGCCCTTCCCATCAAAGGCGTGTTATGAAAATTTAATACATATTAAATTATGTGAGAATTTATATGGCAGTATTCTGAGTCTGTTTCTTTTTAAGCATTTTTCAGAGACTTATCTGGGCATGTTCAGAAACCCCTGAAATATTAATAAATAATTTTTCCAAGAATCCATTTGAACTTTAATATAAAAATTGAGGAAAATATCACATTTATTTAAATCTATGTTGATCTGGCTTGAAAGTGGGGAAGAAAAGCTGGAGCCCTAACTTGTGCAGAAATTCAAAATAACCACCTTATTTACAAGTGAAAGATACTAAAGCAAATTTACTTGACTCACATATAAGTGAGATTTTAAGTTTTCAGCTTGTAAAGCTAACCTGAGGAAACCACTTCTGACATTGATGTTGTACCCCAGTGAAATGACAAATGTATGGACAAGTCACATTACTACTGTACACTGATTTCATACCCCAGAGATTCTGTTTTACAGCTCACTACCCTCTGCTACTTGTAACGATAGGGTGTACTTTGAATTTCTAGTCAGCTCAACTGGAGGATAACCCATAGTGCATAATAAACCACCCTCCATGTGTTCAGCCCCTATTAAAAATTTATTGGAATGTGAACAAGGCACACTACTGACAAAGTATAACCTTGGGGAGAGCTACATGGTCTGAATTCAGTTGCTGTAGAAGATCACAGAACATTTTGCCTTCTGCATTAAAAATGATTTTCAGTGTAGTTTTATGTTTCTTTATGATCCTTAATAGATGCCATTTAATTGAACACATTCTGAATAAAAAAAAATAAAAATTGGGCATTTGACACTATTGGCCAGTTTATTACTGCAGTGTACTGTGCTATGTCACATCCATGGTTAAGTTTTTGACTGCTTGATTTAAGCTATTACATTTCTTAACTATTGTCTAACTTAAATGATTAATAGTTTTTATGGTCTTTGAGAACCATTTTCTCACACACTTTTGGATGCACTTGGAGCTTGATTATATTTTTCTTCATATAATATATTTAATTAACTGCATATTTATGTCAGCATCACTGATATACGATTGAAAATAAAATTACAACTTACTGAAAATCCTGTATTATCTCTGTATAATAGGCCTGTCACAGTACTTTTCAATTACAAATTAAGCTGCAGATATTATGTACAAAACAAGTTAATGAATTTTGTGTGAAACTATCTAGAAAAATGGCTGTGGTATTAATTTTTTCAATCTAAATTATACTCTGTCCTTTTATATTTACCAGGTAGCTAGCTAGAGAATGTATTGTTTTGCAGTAACGCAATGGGTGATGATATACTAATTGTTTATACAGTACAGATTAGTTTTGTATGGATTGATCTCCAATACTTTTAACCTCATTTCAAGTAGGAAGCTGTAAATTAATATATTATTCCAACAGTTTTCAGCTTTTTACCAAGTATTCAGAAATGTTCAAGAAATCAGTTATATCTATCTTTACTTACCTACCAGCCCTTAGGAGTCACCCATATGGATTTCCTTGTACTCTTAACATTTTTTTCATAAGACAAGTGTTTATACATTTAATATGTTAAAAATAATTCTGGTGGCAGACAGTACATCTACCAAACAACAAACTCCTTTCTAACACTCAGAATGAACATGCTGCGCTTGCACATGGGAACCCTTAGTTAAATAAGCCAAACCCTTTTATAACAAGGGCTTGTGAGCCAGGTACATGGATTGTAAGCCTAGCTGCAAGCAAGTACATGTGCCAATAGTACCTGGTGTAGAGCCTCTCCATGGCTACCTTCAGGCAGTTGCCAGAAGCTGTTCCTTGCAGCTACTGCTACCCCCTCGTAGGTTGATCTGAGAATCAGTGGATCCATGAAGTTCACACTTATTGGTCCCCAACCCTATAAAGAGACCAAGCTACCAAGGAGCTGAATAACACAGCAAACAGGATGGTAATAGGATCATCCTGCGTTTGGGTTTGCATCAAACAGCTCAGTAGGAGTTTTTCCACTGAGGCTAACAGGAGCCAAATTAAGCCTCTCATGGAAAATCCTGTAGCAATTAGCATAGCTGTAATCAGTAGTGTTCTGTAAAATGCACCCCCAAATGAGACAGGATATAATAGAAACTTAGAGAGAACCATCCCATAGAATTCTACCTTTGGATTAAATTCTTCAGAATGGTTCAAACCTAATTGAAAGGATCCCACTTTCTGTTAAATATAAAGGGATCTCAGACCCAATCCAGCACACAAAATAGAACTGGAGTAATAACGTCCATGTTTATGGGACCACTGGGATGTATTATGATTAAGGACTGTAATAGTTAGGCAGTAAATACTGGAGATACTCTTACCTCCATGTTGATCATTCTTCAAGGAAAGCTCATTATCTTTTGCCATTTTCAGAAATCCTAGCGTAATCAACCTTGTATTTGCTGTTGAGGGCTACTGTAAGTAAAGACTTGCCCAGGAAAAAGTCTCCAAGTTCTTAGCCTGTTTAAAACTCAGTATGCTGAGCAATTATTATTATTATTTATTTATTTATTTTTACCAGCTATGCTTGGAGAGGTTTGTTTGTTTTTTTTTTTAAATACTGCTTTACAATAGTTACTTTCTCTTATGATTGTGATTGTGTAGGGTAATGAGATGTTCTAAAGATACAAGACAGTCCAACATGTCTGCAGATTCCCTAGGATAATGATATCTAGTTGCTTATTTTGACTAGTTTCCATTTTCCCCTGTGAAGCTACTGTGGCCAGACCAGATGTTCATTTGCACCTTAGTAGTTCTGTACAGAATGCAGCAGCCAGATTTTTAGGCTCGCAGATCCCATTTTGGTCACAGTTAAAAAGACATTAAATGGTTTCACTAAAGTCCCCGATGAACGTTCTGTTCGTTTCATAGGAGTTGTACAGTGTGGCACAATGGCTGTAGAGTCTGCGGACAGAAGTTACATTTGTCACACAACTGGCCTCCTGAATGTGCTCTAGAACCATGCCACGACATACATGTACAGCTACAGAGCACTTTTAAAGTGGCCAATTGCACAACAAATTAACCCTCATCAAATGAGGGATCAGATGAAGATGCACCACTTGGGGTGCCAGGGGCTGTCCGCAGGGTCTGATGGGGTATACGGGAAGGAGAGTATAACAAAAGGGCATCCTAGGGGTTGCCGTGCTGTCCCCTAATGCCCCTGTTACCGTGGCAAGTTTGCCAAAAGGGCCCCCTCCATCCTTGCCCACCACGTCTTTGATGTTAACTGTATAATAGGGAGGCTGCCTTTTTATCCCCTTGGACACAGTTTTCCTGCCTTACACGGGCCCCGTTCTGTAATGGGTACTTCGGTGCACCCCAGCCTTATGGGCTATACATGGCTCCAGCCACCCCTTTACCACGCCCCAAGCCTCGCAGATGGAATGGACGTTGTTCGGTCTCACCCTGCACTTCACTAGCGCTCGGCCTCCCCATAGCCTTGTCTTGCCCTGCACCTTGCTGGCACTCGGCCTCCCCATAGCCTTGTCTCGCCCTGCGCCTCGCTGGGTGCTCGGGCTCTCCACAGCCCTGTCACACTGCGCCCTTCCTGGGGCTGGGGTCCCCATGCTACCGTGAGGTCTCCTCCATCTCCTTATAGCCTCACCCAAGCCACCAGTGAAAACAGCAAACAAAACACAAGCCCCTGGGCTATAACAAACTCTAGCCGCCTGGCCATAATGTTATTCCAGCCACCCCCAGGGTACTCCATCCTTCCTCAATCTCAGGGCTGTACCTGCAGGCAGACCTCTCCCTTCTGCTTACTCTGAGAGAGCTCCTTCTCCCTTGGCAGCTGGCAGGGCACTACCCCCCGGGCTCAAGCCTGGGATTTATATAGGACCCAGGCCCTGCCCCTTCTGGCCAGGGGGCCAGGTGCAGGTGCGGCCACTTCCCTCATTAAGCAGTTGTCCCAGCAACCTGCACCTGGGTTCCTATCTCTGCTGTTAAAGTAGCAGGCAATTTAGTGCCCTGCTACAGAGAGCAAGTTGCTGGCTGGGGTTTGCCCAGATTGAGCTGAAGGAGGCGGATGGATTGGCGCTCCCTTGCCTTGCAACGCTCTCCCCCAGCCCAGGCCAGGCAAGCCCCAGCTGGCAGCTTGAGCCCCCTCTCCCATCCCCCTCATTTCCTGCAGCCAGCCATGAATCGGTGGGTGGAGGGCAGGAGCTGGGGGAGAGGAGAAGCTCCTTGGCTGCAGGCAGGCTCCTTGGGCTCCTGCGGGCAGGCTCAATCCCCTCCTCCACCGACCCAGCAGGCAAGCATCTGTTGGGTCTGGGTAGGTGCTCTAACTCACGGTGCTTTATGTAAAGCTCCATCAGTTACAGAGGGGGCCTGCACAGCTGTCAGTGTCCAATGTGAAGTGACTGGCAATTTCTATTCAAAGAGTAAGGTAGAAACACTGCTGTTTTATACAGTAGGCAGTAGACATTCTGTAATATTGTGTAGTAACCTATGACTGCATTTACCTTTTTTCTCCTATTCTGGTGTTTGGATAGCAGAGATATGGCAGGTCAGGATTCACAGTAGACTTTGTGTCATATTAGTCAAAGTGGAGGAATGGAAGTCAGAGAACTTGGTTTCTAATCTTGACATGGTTCAGGTGCTTTAACCTTGAGCAAATCACTTCTTCCTTTTGTGTCTCAGTTTCACCTTCTGTAAAATGAGCACAGTAACACTTCCCTTTGTAAAGTGCTTTGAGACTTTCTGATGAAAGCTGAATAAATAATCAGAATTTGTACTTGTATAATTATTCACTGCTTCCATGGTCTTTCACTAACCTGTCACTCATTTCGACTCCCCCAAGAAATAAATTCACTCAAGTAAAGAATGTTATATAATTTTCTTGTCAATTTTATAAGAATGGGAGCAGGAGCTTTCAAATATAAATCTAATTCAGTACCGTATATTGACTGTCTTCATAGCTTTGATCCACCTGGCCAGATGTCTGCTGGAATGTCGTGTGAAATGGTGGTAACATTTAAGCCTATGGTAAGTGCCCTTTATACAGTGATTATAAGACAAATATAAATTACATGTTGATGTGAATTGTGTAATCCACCAGTTTATTTTGGTAATAGTAACAATAGCCTAGTTTTGTTAACTGTTAAGAAGGAAACAAAGATCAGAAAAAAGAAATATTACTCTAATTAAAAAATCTTCTGCATCTCAAACTATTGTTATGTTGTGGTGTGGCATTTTTCAGTATTACGTTTTACACTGGTGCCAGTCACTTAGTATTTCCGATGTATGTATTTTTAGGTAAAACCTTGCTCCAAACTGGCTTGTTAAAATAAATTAGGGAGTCAACAATAAGTTGCAGTCATACAAAAACTTAGAATCTCAGAAATTGTAATTTTTGTAAAATTGTAAAATTTTAATTTTTAATTGTAAGAAGGTATTGAGTGCTTCTTTACTATAATTTAGAGGCAGACTTATTTTTTCAGTAGGCTAAAGAAGTAAGGTTTAATATGTTAATATATCTTTGGCTTTTTCTTTTTTTTTAATTTTAGATAAATGAAGATCTTGAAGGAGAAGTAACATTTTTGGCTCAGACTGGTTCCTTCTCCATTCCATTGAAATGTACAGTCAAGAGATGTGTTGTGAGTCTTTTTTTAAACCTTATATACTTTGGACGAGAGAGTCTTGTATAAGATGAATATAGATAGATAAATAGCACTTAAATACTGGTGTGAATTGTTAGTCAAAAACACATTTTATATTTAGAGGGGACAAAAGGACTTTTTAATAATTTGATTAATTCCTTAAAGAGTTCCTTATGAAAATGTAGTATTACTATCACTATATTTCAGAAAGATTCTGTGCAAGTGTGACAGTAAAGTGTTCAACACTTATGTCTAGTAGGCAGTTTTAAAATTGCATTCAAATGATAAATACTATTTATTTAAAGGTCTCAGACCCTGTATCATGCAGAGATTTCTGGATGAACTTAAATTGAAGCACATGAGTATTCTAATCGGATTCAATGATTATTTGAAATTCTGAACTGCCTCAGAGCCCCTGTCATAGATCCCACATTGTGCTAGGTGCTATACTCAGAATAGGGAGATGGTCTCTGCCCTGAAAATTTTACAATGGACTCAGGTCTGTAGGCTCAAGTATGTGCTTATCAGCTTTGCAAGACCGGTGCTTGAAATGTCAGTGTTAGTATAATATATTAACTCACAATTTATCGTTTGGTTCCTAGAATTGTTATTCAGAGATTGTAGGTGAATAAGGTGCAGAAATAATAACCACCACATAATTTTTATCTCTGATTCTATTTTGACCATAAAATGTATTTATTTTATTTGGGGAAAACTAAACTATTACATACAAATAAATACTTCTAACATTGTAATCAACCACATACATTACACTGAAATCTATACAAAATTATAGTATAATTAACTATAAAACACAAAATTAATTTTAAGTGGAAACCATTGGAGAGTTCATTCTAAAACTTGATGGCCCAATATAACATTGGAGTCAGTGGGAGGGAAGAAGTTTTTCAAATGCAGATCTGGGATGTGGATCCCTAATTCCCTTGGGCTTCTCTGAAAGTTACAGCCCATGCCTAAAGAAATCTGTTTCTTGGCTTAGTTTTCTAAATAGACAAAAAACACCTTTAGATCCCACCATCCATTTACAATAAGGTTTCTACACTTATACAAAGTATTATAGCCCTCAGAGAATTTTTAAATCAGATTTTACCCGAATATAGGGCTCTTATTTTTAAGACACAATAAACAGTATTTTGACAGGCACTAATTTTTCTTAATTAAGGGCTTCTAATTTCTCATGGTTTATCATGATTTCATTTATCAAAGCAAGAGTTCTTCAGAGATTCTTTATCACATAAACAAATATATATCTGTCAGAACATTGCATTGCAGATTGAATGAGATGGAGATGAAAATGTGCATCCATAGATTTATGTTATTAAAAATTCAGGCACTGATGGAAATGCTGTGTAGGATGATCTTTCCAATAGGACTGTGCGAAGCTCGGTCCCTGATTCGATTCTGCAGAGATTCGGCCCAATTTGGTGGCCAAATCTCCAAATCTTAATTGAATCAAGAGACCCTTTAGTCTCTTTGAATCGAATTGGAACCCTCCAAATCGATTCTGAGAGATTTGGAAAGATTTGGCAATTCAAACATAGACACAGCTTTAAATGTTTTTTCTATATACCTCAAGGTACCAGGCGGCTCATGAATGCTGAGATGCTGGGCCGGATGCAGGGTCCCACAGGAGTGTGGGGAGCTCCTCAGCACACTTGGCAGCAGACCCAGAAGTCGACCAGAAGCACTTCTGGTCCACTTCTAGGTCCACAAGGGAGCACGCAGGGGGCAACCCCCCCCGCACCCTTCAGGCTCGGCGACTGGTGCCTCCTGGGTCTGGGTGGGCACCTAGGGTCCCACCACAGCCGGTCACCGAGCCAGGTGGGTGTGGGGGTCCCCCCAGCACACTCCCTGGCAGACCCAGGAGTTGACTGGAAGTACTTCCAGTCCACTTCTGGGTTTGCCACGGAGCACACAGGCGGCCTCCTGTGTTCCTGTGGGACGCTACATCCACCCCAGCATTGCAGCATTCACAAGCCGCACCTGGTACCTCAAGTTATGTAGAAAAAACATTTAAAGCTGTGTCTATGTCCGAATCACTGATTGTCCGAATCAGCATCAGATCTTCAGATTCAGATTCAGCCAAATCAAATCCAGGACAGTGATCCAAATCAATTAATTGAATCACTGTCCCTGATTCGGGCCAAATCCAAATGGAATATGGCCAATTTCGCACACCCCTACTTTCCAGTACTTTAGTCACTAAGGAAACAGACCAGCAAATGCAATATTAGAACCCTGGGAGATCCTGGCATTAAAAAAACCTAGCACCTAATAAAAGCACATGATGGCAATGCATGACACCCAAAACTGGAGCCATGCTCCTGCTGCCAGCTGCCGGCCAAGCTCCACACTGCAGGATCACTGCAGCTGCAGTTCCCAGAGGTCCCCAGGACCCCAAGTAAGGCTGTTTCCTGTTCCTGGGGCTACACCCAAAAGGTGCATCTATAGGAGTGTGCGTATGTGCAGGAATCAAAAAATTTTCCCATGGTACAAATGTGCAGTTCAGGGGCAAAATTAGACCCCTGGATATCTAGGGGTCAAAAAAAAAATACAGGGAAAAAAGTGAGGCATGGCACAGTCCCAGACTGCCCTGAGGCAACCGGAGGCTCAGTCTTCCACAGAGACACTTTGCTGGCCAGCCAGAACATCTCTATGGCTGGTCCTCGCCCCGGTGCTGAAGCACAGTGCAGGGCAGGCAGTGTGACAGCCGCAGGGAACTGGACCCAGGTTCCTGCCAGTAAATAAGGGGTGGGAGGTGCTGAAGGAGGGGGGAGGGACCATGAGAAAACCCCTGTCATCCTCACCCACTCCCTCAGCCCCCCGTATCACTGCCCCACCCAGCCACATCCCTCACCTGCACCCCCAGCCACCCACATCACTGCCCTGCCTGGCCCCATTCCCTGCCTGTTCCCTGACGCCCCCTGCCCCCCAAGCCTCCCCAATTGGTGCCCTGTCCAGCCTCAGCATCCCATCACTTAAAAAAAAAAGAAAAAGCTCCACACTTACCAGCAGTAGCAGCTGCTGTCGGAGTCACTGGGGCCTTGTGACAGAAATCCCCTGTGCAGCATGGGACCTGTGTGATAGCCACAGTCGTCCCATTTGCCTGACAGTGCCCTGCAAACCCCAGTCGCACCCCCACAATGGGGCAGTGGGGGTGCCATGTGGCCAGGGCTGGTTCCCAGAGCTCCCCTGCTACTTCCAGTGAGTGCGAAGCTTTTTTTTTTTT